GAGTAAAGGATTAGAAAACATGCCTTATGGTGACAGATTCAAGGAGCTCAATCTATTTATCTTAACAAAGAGGAGGTTTAGGGGTGACTTGCTCACAGTCTATAAGTAACTACATGGGGAACAAACATGTAATAATGGGCTCTTCAGTCTAGCAAACAAAGGTATGACACAATCCAATGGCTGGAAATTGAAGCTAGACAAGTTCAGACCAGAAATAAAGCATACATTTTAATGCCGAGAGTAATTAACCATTGGACCAATTTACCAAGGATTGTGGTAGATTCTTCATCATTGTCAATTTTTAAATCAAGATAGAAAAACATCCAAACAGATAAATTCCAGGAATTATTTTGGGGAAGTTCTATGGCTTGTTCTATAAAGGAGGTCAGACTAGATTATCACAATTCTGGCTTTAGAACCTATGAAAATAATTATTACAACAGAATCAAAATATATGTTGCTTACTGCTTAAGATATCTAACTAGATGTTTTACCTCTACCTAAGTAATCTAACTACTAAATTGTCAAAGAGCAAGGATGTTTCCATATATGTAAACACATTTCCTGTACTGCAGGCTGATGTAAAATATTTGCAGTTTACAACACTTACAAAATAATTGCCATTTATTGTGTAACTTAGATTAAAGGGCAGAGTATAAATAAGAATATCAATCTTCAGCAGAATAACTTCTATCATTCCAATCCTATAAAGCCATCTTTCCACAGTAATTTATTTTAAAACAAAAAATGTTGGGGTTTTGTTTGTTTTTTACATTCCCCTTCTACACATGGCAGTCTAGGTCAGATAGGAACTAGTTTGGTTTAGTTACTATATCTCTTGGTAACTAGAGCAACCTGCATTTACAAAAGGAAATTTATTAAGAATGACAATTTGAAAAACTATTATTAATAATAAAGATGGCTAAAGAAACTAAATTACAGGAAGCACATAAAGACGACACTAGAATGTGATGGTGTGATATAGAGATTATTGTTTAGGAGTTTGAAGGCAATCATGAGTAACAGAGGTACTTGTCATCTGAAACAAAATATTTAACACTCATATGGTGCTTTACATTTTCAGAAGCACTGTACAGCTATTAAATAAATTTTAACAACACCCACTTTGAAGTAAGTGTCATAATCTCCACTCTGTACATGCAGAAACGGAGGCAGAGAGAGGTTGTCATGAGCAAAGGCACAGCAAGACAGTAGAAGGAGTCAGGAATAGAGCTCATATCTCCTGCTTCCCATCTTTATGCTCATCTCTCATTTAAGCCATTCTGCCTTTCTCAAGAGAGTAAAAACTTCATTCTGCACGATCAAATTCTTTCTGTATTTATCTTTAGAGGACCAAGAAAAAAAAACAGGAAATAAAACTCAACATGAAAAAGTTGCTCTATAAAAGGAAGTAATATTGACACTTGTTTGTGACCACTTTTGAAGCTTTATAGACTTATTTGTCCAGCCATTTTTTGAAACCATTCAGCTGCTAGGGACTTCAGTATTAGCAAGGTATGCCAGCAGACTGACCAAGAAATCGGATTCCCCTTCTGAAAGGGGCCTAGATTTCTTCGAAGATGTATTTAGTTGAACTATCATTTCACCTGGCTCTCCCCTTCCACTTGCGAGGAATCTTATCAGCACAAAGATGCTATAGTAAGGGGCAATATGACATCGAGATCAATTGGATAAGATAATTTAGTCAGGGGGTTGTTTTTGGGAGTGTTTAAAAGACAGTTTCAAGTACTACCCTACTCTAAGTCATCCACGGGATGGAGAGAACTCACCAGCCTCGGCTCCCAGCTACTGACTACAGCTCCCCTCACTTCCGCCGCCCCAGGCTACCGCTCCAGTGCCACCTGCCAACCCCCTCCCCACCATAGGCTACTACCCCTTCCTTTACCCTCCCCTCCCAGCTCCAGCTCCTACCCAAGCCTCTGAAATACCCATCCCCCCATCCAACCGCTGGCTCGCTGCGGCGCCCTCCCCCACTCCCGAGTCCCCCGCTCAACCGTACGCGCCCTCTCCCCCCGCCGCACACTCACCCTCTCATGGAAGATGGCCTCCATGTTTATTTGTCCCAACCCAGCAGCAGCCTCCACCTCACGTGACCACATCCCAGCCACACAGCAGCCAATCATCGCAGCTGCCCCGCACCCCCTCGCCCTCTGCCCACCACGTGATCTTACCCCGCCCAATAAACCGCGGCCTCTCCAGCTCCGTGACAGACATGTGATCACAACGTCAGTGCTTGCGCTAGAGTCCTGGGGGCGGGGTTGCGGGGGCCAGAATTAGCTTCGGGACTCGCCTAACTGGTGCGAGCGCCCCCTGTCGGCTGTCGGGGGAAGTGGGGGCTGGGCGCCGCAGTCAGAGCCTCAGCCCGGAGCTCATCGCTGTGGTCTGAAGAGCTTAGTTAGCGCTTACAACCACTTGATTGCCCACTGGCTGGAGCTGTGCATAGGACCCCCGCCCTGCGTGTCACAAGCCCTGTATTGTCAGGAGCTGATGGGGATTATCCCGCACTTCCGTAGTATTTTAAGGGGCAGGGTTGTGCTTTGTGAATAGCAGAGTCCTTTCTATTCCTACAGGTGGCAGGCCCTTCCAAAATCCACCTCGTTCAGGGTGGTGATAATTAAGTCTTAGTTAGCCAGTTTTGTCACAATGCCCATATACTATTCCACACTAACTCAGTCAGAAATGAATGTAATTCACTTTCAAAGCAGATTATCCCATTTCTCATAACTGCCCATTTAATTGAAGGGAAGAAGTGTCAGCTAGATTCAGGGCACTTTAATGAAATTAGGTGGAAAAGAGCCTCCTGGTGAAGGCATGCCATGTGTCAGGCTGTATGAATTATGAAGGGCATTTCCTACTCTCTCCTTTATCTGTACAAATGGTGGCATTTGAAAACTAATGATTAGACTTATTTTTTTAATTAAGTGAACCAGCTGTCCACTCTGCTGACCTAAACCTCTTTCTCTATCTGCTTTCCCCAAACTCATTCATTTCAACCACTATAAGGAGGATGCAAATGCAGAGGATGGAGAAAGGGAGTGAGTGGTTACCACTGATACCTCATTGCCAAGTGGCAGCATAGTGCTGAGCTAGGCATAGGCAACAGCCAGTCATAGCCACACTGGTATATAAAATATTAGTATTGAAGGCAAAAGAGGAAAAAGAGGGGAGAGTAGAACACAGAGAATTTGGAGGGGAAGGGCTCCAGCAGGAGGGTGGGGCTAGAATGGAGCAAAAGGGAAAAGAGAAGAGACAAGAAGAGACATTTTTAAAGATTGCAGTAGCATCAGAAATGTGTTAGGCTCTTGCCAAATATGAGGAAGGTACAACTCCTTTCCCAAAAAGTTTACTGGGACAGAACAAATCTGATCATGCTCATCCTCAGTAAATAGGATAAGGAAGAAAGAATCAACCAGCAAAGACAAAATTACCTGTTTTGTCTTATACCTGTATTGCCCATCACTGTAATATCTGAACACTAAGGCACTCAGATACCAGAAAGATAGGCATTAAGTGATCAGTCCTAGGATGAACTGTTGGCTAGCGCATGTAATTTATGCTACAAATCCATCAGAGTAGTGTTTAGGTGGATGATATTTCTAGAGTACAGAAAAATAGCTCTTCCAAAGGAGCATGTCCTAACAGTAGGTGCTTAATTTGGAGTTTTCCTTTCCAGATGAGCTGTCCCAGTAGTCTACCACTTCATCTGTGGTAAATTATGGGCTTTCTGGGAGGCAATACATTCTGATTACTATCCTATTCTGGCTCTGTCATCAGTTAGGAGGAGAAACAGAAGTGGGAAGTACGGACACCACTGCATAATGACTAAAAAGTTTCATCTCCAGTGCTCTCTATAGCATCATTCTAAATTCAACACCACAGGGATCTTGGTGCAAGTTAATACTGATACCAAAACTCATTGAAAACCATTGAGGATTGTGGAACAGCAGCAGTTGGGGAAACCATAGGCTTTTTATAGCAGACAGACTAGGAGGTATTGAACCAATGTGCAGATTTATGGAAAGCTGCTGGTTTGAGGGGTGACCCTTTCATGTTCTGAAGGAGAGTAACTACTGTGAGAAAAATCAGTCAAACTCTATGACTGAATTCAAGGCTGTGTTTTAAGCACCTTTACACCACTCCACAATCATAAAGATCTGGAAAGCAGATCTCCCTCACAGCCAAAATTTCCTCAGCCCAGGGAATTCCTTGAACAGCATAGGGTTGTTTATTATTTGTATTGCTGTAGCACCAAGGAAGCCCATCATGGACCAGGATCCTGTTGAGCTAGGCATGTAGAAATACAGAACCAAATATCCTCCACTCCTTGGCTCCAGCTGCTTACCATCTAACATAATGCTCCTATGTCCCTACTCCTCACAGGCCTTGGGGCAAAGAACAGGCTGCAGCATGGCCCATAGATGGTTCCTGGTAGTTTCCATAAATTACAGTAGTTCCAAAGGCTGCTCCACTTTATGCTTGGTGCATGGCAAACACCTATCCATGTCCAGAATTTGCAACATGCCATAGGACAAAAGCACCTGTGCCCAAGCCATGGCTGCACCCTCTGAACTGCTCAGAATACCTACACGAGAACAATAAGGAAGAGGACCAACAGGTCTCTCTACTTCATAATGATTTAGAGCAAACCCACACACTTTGTTATAACTAACTCAGTATTTAAATAAAAAATAAAAACAAATCAATTTCCACTTCACTGTTAATTTTTTTTCTCTCCATTTTACTCAATTAAAATACAAAGAGACTAGTCCTAGCCTTGGAGGAGGGTTTTGTTCATTTGGTTTAAATGTGAGTGCCTGTTACATAGTTTTTCTGCTTATTGTGTGCGTTTTTTCCTTAGGAACAAGACTTTTTAGAAAAAACATTTCTGAACAGGATATTAATCATATGATTAAATTGTCCTTCAAAATGGAAATGGAGAACAGGGAATTAAACTGGCAGAATTAAACTACGCTTTTCAGTGGCTTTATCTTTTTTAATACTAGGAACGAAGTGTATCAAGTGTAAAAACATGGTTCCTGTTCCACAGATGACACAGTAACAAAGACATCATCCACTTGTTATACATGCTAATTTAATTACATGGAAGCATTTCCCATTTCACAGACAGCCTTTATTTCCAGGTAACTTCTTCACCGGGTTTCAATTCCCTGTGTGGAAGGGGGAAACAAATGAGGATAGTAAAATTAGGTAGTGCACAGGACTTTTGCAGACTGTAATCTAAAATCTATGAACAATAATGTAAGTTAGTATTTCACTAGCTTAATTGTGAGGTATTTTGTAACAGATCTTGATTTCTATATTAACTTTTAAGAATAATTAATATCCTTGACTTCCCTTGTAACTGTTAATCAAAAACTATCTCATTTGAACAACTCGTCTTCTCCTTCCTTTCCCTCTTCTTAAAGGTTAGGATCATTTTTTTTCTGTGTACTTTCCTTATGATACTCTTGACTTCCTTCCACATTAGGCCCACCCCCCACAATGAGAGCTGTGGAGAAGATCCTGCAGCAGCATATCTCTATTGACTAAAATGGGACTTCATGGCAGGGTCCACTCACATTGGAGTTGAGCTCATTGGACAACTGTGGCCTTAGTTATCAAGTGTGGCTAATGAGGGCTTGAAGTAGATACTTTAGGAGCATGACAAAGACACCCATAAAATAGTTAGAAGAGTTGCTAGAAAGCAACTGAACAAGGTGCATCTTCAGGGCTCCCTGCCCCTTTTAGTCTGAAAGCAAAAGATGGAATTAGGAGCCAATCCCTTATGTATGTGTGGTTCCCAACAAAGTCAATGGGACTTTAGTACCAGGCAAATTGGTTGAAACTATAGTAAAGAACAGAATTATTGGGAAAGAGTCAACACAGCTTTTGTAAAAGGAAATCATGCCTCACCAATCTATTAGAATTCTTTGAGGATGTCAACAAGCACATGGACAAGGGTGATCCAGTTGATATAGAGTACTTGGACTTTAAGAAAGCCTTGGAGAAGGTCCCAAACCAAAGGCTCTTAAGCAAAGTCAGCAGTCATGGGATAAAATGAAGGTTCTCTCATGGATCAGTAATTGAATAAAAGATAGGAAACAAAGGGTAGGCATAAGTGGTCAGTTTTCACAATGGAGAGAGATAAAAAGCAGGATCCATGAAGGATTTGTACTGGGACCAGTGTTCCCTCTAATTTTTTATGTCCATGTGCGGAATGAATTTTGTTATGTGCACCAATATGGAGGTGGTGTGTGACATCACCTTCATATTAGTGCTAACAAAATTCATGCAGTGAGGGTGGGACCAAGGGGTTCGGAGTGTGGGAAAGGGCTCAGGGCTGGGGCAGAAGGTTGGGGTGCGGGGAGGGTGAGGGCTCTGGCTGGGGGTGCGGGCGGTGATGATGGGTTTGGAGTGCAGGAGGGAGCTCAGGGCTGGGGTGTGGGGGGATGGGGAATCTGGCTGGGGGTGTGTGTTCTGGGATGGGACTGGGGATGAGGGGTGCAGGAGGGGTTCAGGGGCTGGGCCATGGGCAGGGCTCCTTTCCCCGGCAGCTCCGGCAGGGCTGCGCTGGGCCGTGGGAGGGGCTGCGCTGGGCCGTGGGAGGGGCTGCGCTCCCTGCCTGTCTGCGCAGCCCTTGAGAGCCCGCTGCGTGGCCACACAGCTTACAGGGAACATAGACTAGGACCTGTGCTATTCAACATGTTCATAAATGATCTAGAAAAGGGGATGAACAGTGAGGTGGCAAAATTTGCAGATGATACAAAATTACTCAAGATTTTAGTCAGCTTTGGACTTATCTAATAGTGACAAATAGATCCTTGTCACTGGGCAACAAAATGGCAGATGAAATTCAGTATTAATAACTGCAATGTAGGGGTGTCAATTAATCGCAGTTAACTCATGCAATTAACTCAAAAAATATTATTGCGATTAAAAATTTAATACTAATTAATCGCAGTTTTAATTGTGCTGCTAAACAATAGAATACCAATTGAAAATTATTAAATATTTGATGTTTTTCTATATTTTCATATATATTGTATTATGTTGTAATTGAAATAAAAGTGTATATTATTTTTTACAGTGCAGATATTTGTAATAAAGAAATAGTATTTTTTCAGTTCACCTCATACAAGTACTGTAGTGCAATCTCGGTCATGAAAGTGCAACTTACAAATGTAGATTTCTTTTTTTTTTGTTACATAACTGCACTCAAAAACAAAGCAATGTAAAACTTCAGAGCCTACAGGTTCACTCAGTCCTACTTCTTGTTCAGCCAATCACTAAGACAAACAAGTTTGTTTACATTTACAAGAGATAATGCTGCCTCTTCTTATTTACAATGTCACCAGAAAGTGAGAACAGGCATTTGCATGGCACTTTTGTAGTGGGCACTGCAAGGTATTTACATGCCAGATATGCTAAACATTCGTATGCCCCTTCATGCTTCGGCCACCATTGCAGAGGACATGCTTCCATGCTGATGACGTTCATAAAAAAATAATGCATTAATTAAATTTGTTACTGACCTTTGGGGAGATCTGTATCTCCCCTGCTCTGTTTACCTGCATTGTGCCATATATTTCATGTTATAGGAGTCTCGGATGATGACCCAGCACCAGACATGCCAAACCCGTGGAAAAAACAAACAAACAAACAGAAATTGGGCTTGTTTTTTGCTTAATTGGCTTGAGAGTTCCTTGTTGGCTAGTTGTTGATTCTTCTCTTCCCCCTCCTCCTTCCCCCTAGCTCGCCACTTGCCCCTGCTTGCAGAGAGCCGATCAAAAAAAAGAGTCGGGGTGCACAGTGGGCCCACCACAGGCCCAGACTGCACGCTGGGGGAATCTAATCATATAGAGTGTTGGGGTTCTTAGGATTTGGCTTGTGTTGGCCTCGTTTTGAAAGGAGATTAGCTTGATTTTTGGCTTATTGTGAAAGTCAGGTGCTTATTTACCATGTGAAATTTGGCAACTGTGCCCAGCACATGTTGTTCATTTTAAGAACACTTTCACAGCAGATATGACAAAATGCAAAGAAGGTACCAATGTGAGATTTCTAAAGATAGCTACAGCACTCGACCCAAGGTATAAGAATCTGAAATGCCTCCCAAAATTTGAGAGGGACGAAGCATGGAGAATGCTTTCAGAAGTCTTAAAAGAGCAACACTCGGATGCGGAAACTACAGAACCCGAACCACCAAAAAGAAAATCAACCTTCTGCTGGTGGCATCTGACTCAGATATTGAAAATGAACATGCATCGGTCTGCACTGGTTTGGAGGGATATTGAGCAGAACCTATCATCAACATGGACACGTCCTCTGGAATGGTGGTTGAAGCATGAAGGAAATATGAATCTTTAGCGCATCTGGCACATAAATATCTTACAATGCCGGCTACAACAGTGCCATGAGAATGTCTGTTCTCACTTTCAGGTGACATTGTAAACAAGAAGCGGGCAGTATCATCACCTTCAAATGTAAACAATCTTGTTTGTCTGAGCAATTGGCTGAAAAAGAAGTAGGACTGAGTGGATTTGCAGGCTCAAAAATTTTACATTGTCTTATTTTTGAGTACAGTTGTTTTTTTTACATACTTCTACATTTGTAAGTTCAACTTTCATGATACAGACTCTGCACTACAGTACTTGTATTAAGTGAATTGAAAAATACTTTTTTTTTACAGTGCAAATACTTGTAATACTAAATAAATATAAAGTGAGCACTGTACACTTTGTATTCTGTGTTGTAATTGAATCAATATATTTGAAAATGTAGAAAAATATCAAAAAATATTTAACTAAATGGTATTCTATTATTAACAGTGTAATTAATCGCACAATTAATTTTTTTAATCGCTTGACAGCCCTACTGCAAAGTAATACATTTTCCAAAGTGCAAGTCCAACTATACATACAAAGTGATGGGGTCTAAATTAGTTACCACCACTAAAGGAGATCATGGAATCATTGTGGATAGTTCTCTGAAAACATCTGCTTAATGTGCAGCAGCGGTCAAAAAAGCTAACAGAATGTTAGGAACCATTAGGAAAGGGATAGATAAGACGATATAAAATATCATAATGCCACTATACAAATCCATGGTATGCTCACACCATGAGTACCAAGTGTAGTTCTGGCCACCCCATCTCAAAAAAGATATATTAGAATTGGAAAAGGTATAGAGAAGGGCAACGAAATTGATTAAGGGTATGGAACAGCTTTCATATGAGGAGACGAAAAAGACTGACTGTTAAACTTACAAAAGAGACAACTAGAGGGGGAGTGATAAAATGATTAATGATGTGGAGAAAGTGAATAAGGAAGTGTTATTTAACCCTTGACATTAATCAGTCAGGGTCACCCAATGAAAATTAATAGGCAGCAGGTTTAAAACAAGCACAAGGAAGTATTTCTTCACACAATGCAGTCACCTTGTGGAACTCTTTGACAGAAGACGTTGCTCTGGGTGTCCCTAAACAACTGACTGCCAGAAGCTGGGACTGGAAAACAGGGGATGGATCATTGCCCTGTTCTGTTCATTCTCTCTGAACAATATGGCAGTGGCCACTGTCGTAAGACAGGATACTGGGCTAGATGAACCATTGGTCTGACCCAGTATGGCCAGTCTTATGACATTCACATGGGGAAGGATTGCAAGATTTCTTAACTCCAACTAATTTAAATGGCAGTTGAGAAAAATGATCACCTCACTTGAGGTGCCAACGTTTTGCAGGACAGGACCTATAGGGCAAAATCCTGCTTCCTTTGAAGTCAATATCAAAACTCATATCACTTCAATTGGAGCAGAATTAGGCCTTTCCGACAGATTATTTTGTTAAAAAGTTGTGTCAAACTAACCTTTTAAATAACTTGCTCTTGTTTCTGAAAGCTGATAGTTTTTCATCATTCCTTCTGTCCAGATAGCATCCAAGAATAAATCCCATGGGAGTCAAAAGATGGACCCAGTAGTCACGCACAGCTTGGACAAAATTCACCATGAGTGCTAGAACGAAGGGGGAAAAAAATGGGGGTGGAGGGAGAGGAAGAGAAAGGAGACAAAAATCTATGCAATCATGAACATTTGAAGGCCAGCATATATTTTAACAAGAGAAAAATGCTGCTCTCAGGTCCACACAGAATTCCTGGGAACAGCCGGATACTGGAATCTAGATTGAACTTGCAGTACTGACAGTAGAATTTTGCACTAAGGGAATAGGAATGCAACCCAATTAATAAACTATTTTAAGGTGATCATAGGTTGAGTATTTGCATTTAAAATTATGACAAAAGTCCCTCACTAGAAATCATCCTAATTATGCACCATTTATGAGGAGTCTGCCTTGTTGTAAAATATAATACTTGTTCTCAACAAACATTTATAAAGCAGGAATTTTCATAGTATTCATCTATAAGTCTAGGTGCAATTACTGTAAGGTGGGTGCACAACTGGTTGAAAGGCCATCCTCAAAGAGTAGTTATCAATGGTCCACTGTCAAACTGGGAAGACCTATCAGATGGTGACCTGAAGGGATCGGTCATTGGTTTGGTACGACTCAACATTTTCATTAATGACTTGAATGATTGAGCGGAGAGTATTCTTATAAAATTTGCATATGACACCAAGCAGGGAGGGGCTGCAAGCACTTTGAAGGACAGGATTAGATTTCAAATGATCTTGATATTTCAGAGAATTGGTCTGAAATCAATAAGATGAAATTAAATAAAGGCAACCGCAAATCTACACTTCAGAAAGAAAAATCATGCACAAATACAAAATGGGGAATAAATGGCTAAGCAGCAGTACTGCAGAAGAGGATCTGGGGGTTTTAGTGGATCACAAATTGAATATGAGTCAACACTATGTTGTTGTTGTGAAAAAGGCGACTGTCACTCTGGTATACATTAACAGGGGTGTAAGACATGAAAAAATTGAAAGAACTGGGCATGCTAGGCTAGATTAACAAAGAAATTTATCAGAGGGGTAGCTGTGTTAGTCTGAATCTGTAAAAAGCAACAGAGGGTCCTGTGGCACCTTGAAGACAACTTGCATCAGAAGAAGTGAGGTTCTTACCCACGAAAGCTTATGCTCCCAATACTTCTGTTAGTCTTAAGGTGCCACAGGACCCTCTGTTGCTTTTTAAAGAAATTTAGGCGCCTAGAAAATCAACAGGATTCACAAAACCTGGGTTTGGCACCTAGGCTCCCTATACAATGAAAGAGCAGAGATAGGTGCCTAAGAATTGAATTCACAAAAGGCAGCATGCCAGGACATTCTTTGCCTAAGGTAGCGAACAGGAAGCATACCCCTCTCTCAGAGCTAGGCACCTAAGTCTGGACTGCAGGAAGGTGTATCCCTCTGATTGGGATTCTCAACTGCAAATGCGGTCTTGGAGATAGGTACCTATACCACTTTTGCAAGAAGATGGGGCCAGGGGGAGGAGCGGGGAAGGGACGGAATGAAGGGAGAGGACAGAGGGTTATGAGAGGAGAAGCTCTGTCATAACTTTTAGCCCAATGGTCAGGTACTCACCGGGGATGTGGAGACCCCAAGTTCAAGTCCCTACCCCACTTGAGGGAAATATGTGAATTGAACAGGGATCTGCCATCTCTTAATTGAGTGCCCTAGCTACTGGGCTCTGAGATATTCTAATCTGAGGCTCCCTCAATCTTTCCTGTTGAAGCTGTTCCACTGTAGCTAAATATTTTAAACAGTCATTGGAGCAGGGGAACTGGATTCTGGGAGCTTGTCGACACTTAAATTTTATAGTGCTCTAACTTGCTGGCTCAAGGGTGTGAAAAATCACGCTCCTGAGCACAGCAAGTCCACGTGCTTTAAAGCGCTAGTGTAGTCAGGCTCCGAGCACTGGGAGCTGTGCTCCCAGCACTAATCCCCTCGTGGATGTGGATTACCAGGAGCGCTGGGAGACCTCTCTCCCAGTGCTCAGGCGTGACCACACTCATACTTCAAAGTGCTGCCGCGGGAGCGTTTCCATGGCAGTGCTTTGAAGTTTCCAGGGTAGACATACCCTGGGTCTCCCTCCTCCCAGGTGAATACTCTAACCAAAAGGTCACAAAATCATTCTCACGCTTGCTCTCTCTCTCGCCTCCAATAATTCTTTCATTATTATCCACAATGCAACAGTTTCAAAATAGGGGAGGAGGTCAGAAAGAGGGCAGGGGGAAAAGATATAGACAGTGCATGTGTGAGAATGAGACTGTAGTCTGGTGGTTAAAGCACTCACCACAGAGATAGAAGATCCATGATTCTGTCCCCCTGCTTCAGTGACTTATTTATTTATTCATACAAAGTGGAACATCTTCAATCAGAGAGACTGAAGGAGCCCCACAGCAGAATATACCATACTCCAGTAGCTAGGAAGCTCACCTGAAAAGTGGCAGACCCCTGTTTACGTTCCTTCTCCCCTTCAGGCAGAGCGGGGAGTTGAACCAGTGGTCTCCCACCTCACAGATGAGTAACCTAACCACTGGGCTAAAAATTATGACAGCTCCTCCCCACCTCTGGCCATTGTGTGAACTAGTCTATAAGGCCCAATCCGGTAGGTGAGGTCTGAACACACTTACCAGATCAAGCCCCACAAGCAAGCTAAGTGTTCCACTGCCTAATTTATCCTGATTTGTCCATCATTCTGGAGCTTAGGTGTCCAGGTGCCTGCAATGGGTCTACAATATGAAAGCACAGAGGCAGAAACATAAGTGCCTAGGGAACTTCTACCTCAAAAATGTAGGTGCTGAGCAATTTTGGTGCCTACAGGATTTAGGGGCAGCTGAGTGGGGGGGGGGGTGTGTGAATCCCCATGAGGCCTGATTCTGGGATTTAGGAGCCTAAAGTGGCAGCTGGATGCCTAAGTCCATTTGTGAATCTAGCCCATTTAGTCTAGAGTTGAGAATGCTGAGAGGGGACATAACACTCTATAAATATAAATAAAAGATTGATCACCATCCTTTTTACAACAATCATTCTCCGTAGCCATCAAGGGTAGAACAAGAAGTACCAGTAATCAACTTAATTTACAACAAGGGAGATTTAGGTTAGAGAGGAAAAACTTTCTAACTATAGGGATAGTTAAGCACTGGAACAGATTACTAAAGAAGGTGGTGAAGGTTATCAAGAACAGGTTAGACAAACGTGTCAAAGATGATCTGGGGGGGGTTGGGGGGGTGGACTAGATAACCTTGAGGTCCCTTCCATCCCTCCATTTCTATAATGCTATGACTCCTGCTCAGTTGGTATTTCAGTAGCAACAAGTCAGAAAAAGAAGTTCTATATTAATGGTAAGATCAGACTTCATAAACGGTCTCATGCATGTTTTTCAGAATGACCAAGGAGGAAAGCTGAGGAAGCTGTGGTCCAACAATGAGCTTAAAATGGCTGAACTAGACTTTGCCTACATACAAATTCCAAACAATAAAAACCAAGTAGTATTAACCAGGTACCTTAAAAGCAACAGAAAAATCAAACGCTTTTAAAGTACTACATCAAATGTATTTATGGACATAAAACTCAGGTCTGAAAGGAGTGTAGTCACCTGGTCTGCTCACAAGCCCAGGCACCCCGGCTCAAGCCTCACCCTGCAAGGATGTGTCTGAAGATTATAACACCTACCCACACAGTGAGTTGTGAGGTACTTGTAAGCTCTCCACAGGAGGGGCCGCGTCCGCCACTCAACTTGTACAGCACCTAGCACGGGGCCCCGGCTGCTCCCAGTAACATTACGGTATAAGTACCACACGATCTGAGGACGAGAGCCACTCCACACGGGCCCAGTATTATTGAAGTACACCCCCCTCCCCCACTACCCTGGCCCGGCCCGGCCCACCCCGCGCCCTGGAGCCCTGTTCCCAGGCAAGAAGGCGCCACGGCCAGCGACCAGCACTAGGCAAACGTGCAGCCCCCGGGGCCTCCTCACCCACAGGTCCCGCTCACCTGCCGCCCGCTGTCGGGCCTAGACCTGCTGCCGCCGCCTGCGCCGAGCCCAAGGGCAATTGGGAGCCACTCAAGCTGCTGCTACTGGACGAGCCACCAGCCTGGCAGGACAGACCAAGGGAGGGGAGAGGAGGGGGAGTTAGCTTCCCCCGGGGCGCGTTTATTTCAAAGTTCCACGCCGCCGCCCTTATGAGCCTCTATGGCCCAGCTCTCGTATTTAATGCGTAGGCCACAAGGCCCGAGTGTCCCGCTTCGTACTCCCCCGGGCTGCCAATGGTACAGTCCATTCCCCTTTGGCTTTCTCCTACGCCAGACTCCCAAGCCCCGCCTCCCCCTCTCAGTTCAAAATGGCGGCGGCTGTGGAAGACATGGGGTCTGACTGAGGAGGCGGCCGGGGTTCCCCCTGTGCTGTCCCTACTGGGTTTAGGGGGCTGGGGACAGCGGCGTGGGGCTGGTGGTGAGGTAGGTGCTGGGGTGCCTCGCTCCTCTCCCCCAATGTCCCTGGGCAGAGCCTGATACAGCGACCTGCACACTAGCTCCTGGCGAGCAAAGAGGCTCCCCGTCCCAGCACATGAGGCCTGGGGGACTGGTCTGGGTGGGGGAGCTTATTTAAGCACCCCCCTTGTCAGCGAGAGTGGGGGGAGGCGCTTCCCTATCCCCGGGATGTCTTGGGATTGGGACCCTCCTCCCCGGGAGCGCCGGAGAGTTGGGGGCAGGAGACCCCCGAACGAGGGGAGGGGGGCACCTCCCGAGAGGGGCGGGAGTGAGAGTCTGTTCTCACAGAGTGAGGCCGCTGGGGGCAGGTGGCAGTGAGTGAAGGGGTCATGCACCAGGTCTGTGTATGTGTGTGTCCTGCTCGCATTGCATCTCCTTTGGGGAGACCTCTAGCCTTCTAGCAATCACAGAATCCTAGACGTGTGGCTGTAAGGGATCTTGGGAGGTGCTCTAGTTCAGCCCCTAGGCAAGTAAACCTAGACCATCCTTGCCAGGTATTTGTCCAGCCCGTTTTTAAATTCCTCCAAAGATGGGTGTTGTACAAGTTCCCTGGGAAGAGAGCTTAACTACTGTTGGAGTTAGAAAATATTTTCTAATATCAAACTCTGTTTTTTCTTGCTGCAGTTTAAGCCCTTTACTTCTTGTCCTGCCTTCAGTGGACATGGAGACCAATTGCGCATAATCCCCTTAATAACACCACATATTTGAAGACTATTTTCAGGTCCCCTCTGTTTCCTTTTTTCAAGACTAAATATGCCCAATCTTCAGAAAAAGGAGGCCAAAGGGTGACTCACTGTTTTCATTAGTACTCTTTAAAAGTTATATTTAAAAAAACTTCATGATTGTAGTGACCATTATGGAATAGTGAGTTCATGATTTTAAGGAATGGTAGGAGGGAAAACAGCACAATAAAGATAATGGATTTCAAGAAGACAGACATTAGCAAACTCAGGGAATTGGTAGGTAAGATCCCATTGGAAGCAAGTCTAAGAGGAAAAACAGTTTGAGAGAGTTAACAGTTTTTTAAAGAGACATTATTAAGGGTATGAGCAAACTATCCTGCATAGGAAAGATAACTATGGCAAGAGACCACCATGGCCTAACCAGGAAATCTTCAATGATCTGAAACTCAAAAAAGAGTCCTATACAAGTGGTAATTAGATCAAATTAAAACGGAAGAATATTTTTAAAAAACAAGTAGGAGGGACACAATTAGGCCAAGGCACAAAATGAGATTAAACTAGCTAGAGACATAAAAGGTAACAAGAAAACATTCTACAAATGCATAAGAAGCAAGAGGAAGACCAATGACAGGGTAGGCTTGTTACTCAAGGGGGGGGCGCAATAACAGAAAATGTGGAAATGGCAGAAGTGCTAAATGATTTTTTGTTTCATTTTTCACCGAAAAGGTCAGTAATTTTTGGATATCTAACAGTGAACACCAATGAAAATGAGGTAGGACCTGAGGCTAAAATAGGGAAAGAACACGTTGAAGATATCTAACTTGTCTAGGAAATTTTTAAGTCAGCAGAGCCTGATGAAATACATCCTGAAATACTTGAGGAGCTGACTGAAGAAATATCTGAGCCATTAGCAATTATCTTTGAAAACTCGTGGAAGATGGGAGAGATTCCAGAGGACTGGCAGAGAGCAAATGGGTAATACCAGTCTATAAAAATGGGGAATGTAGACCAGTCAGCTTAACTTCAGTACCCAGAATCTAGAAGATAAGGTCATAAGTAACAGTCAACATGGATTTGACAAGAACAAATCCTATAAAAAAATTAATTGTGATTAATTGTGTGAGTAAACAATAATGGAATACCATTTATTTAAATATTTTTGGATGTTTTCTACATTTTCAAATATATTGATTTCAATTATAACAATACAATGTGTACAGTGATCACTTTATATTTTTATTACAAATATTTGCACTGTAAAACCAAGAGAGAGTATTTTTTGATTCACCTAATACAAGTACTATAGTACAATCTCTTTATCATGAAAGTTGAACTTACAAATATGTACAAAAAATTAACTGCACTCAAAAACAAAACATTGCAAAACTTTAGAGCCTACAAGTCCACTCAGTCCTATTTCGTGTTCAGCCAATCGCTCAGACAAACAAGTTTGTTTACATTTGCAGGAGATAATGCTACCCACTTCTTGTTCACAATGTCACCTGAAAGTGAGAACAGGTGTTCTTACGGCACTGTTGTAGCTGGCCTTGCAAGATATTTAGATGCCAGATGCACTGAAGATCCATATATGTCCCTTCCTGTTTTAACCACCATTTCAGGGGACGTGCGTCCATGCTGATGACAGGTGCTGCTCAATAACCATCCAAAGCAGTTCGGACTGATGCATGTTCATTTTCATTATCTGAGTCAAATGCTACCAGCAGAAGGTTGGGTGGGTGTAGTGTGGTTTTTTTTTTTTTGTGGTGGTGGTTCAGGTTCTGTAGTTTCCATGTCAGAATGTTGCTCTTCTGAAAGCATGCTCCACACCTCATCCCTCTGAGATTGGTACCTTTGCATTTTGTTAATGAGCATCATCAACATGGAAGCATATCCTCTGGAATGGTCACCGAAGCAGGAAGGGGCATACAAACGTTTAGCAAATATCTTGCAATGCCGGCTACAAAAGTCACACGCGAACGCTTGTTCTCACTTTCTGGTGATGTAAATAAGAAGTGGGTAGCATTATCTTCAGTAAATGTAGACAAACTTGTTTGTCTTAGTGATTGGCTGAATAAAAAGTAGCACCGAGTGGACTTGTAGGCTCTAAAGTTTTGCAATGTTTTGTTTTTGAGTGCAGTTATGTAACCAAAAAGTCTACATTTGTAAGTTGTTTCACGAAAGAGATTGCACGACAGTACTTGTATGAGGTGAACTGAAAAATATGGTTTCTTTTGTTTACCATTTTTACAGTGCAAATATTTGTAATAAAAAGTTATATAAAGTGAGCACTGTACACTTTGTATTCTGTGTTGTAAATGAAACCAATATACTTGAAAATGCGAAAAACATCCAAATTTTTTTTAATAAATTTCAATTGGTATTCTATTGTTTAACTCAAAAATTAATCACACTTAATCAGAGTTTTTAATCACCTTGTTAATCACGTGAGTTAACTGCAATTAATCAACAGCCTTAGTAACAAGCCTTTGTGGATGGGGGAAAATGGTAGATGTTTACTCGTGGTGGAATTCTGCACCACTGTCTGCATGCAGAATTCATGGCTTCTGCAGATTTCATTGCTTCCCTGTAGAAATATGATTTCTGAGGGGGAAGCAAAGGGAAGTCGCAAGAGTGGTCATGGGGCTCCTCCCTAGCAGCACGGGCATGTCGTTTCGGGTGCCCAAAGCAGCCAACGGACAGGTAAATCACTATGGGGGGGGGATGCCCCGGCTGGTGGCTCCTGCCCTGTGCCAGGCTCAGCTGCTAGTCTCGGCTGGGCTGGGGAGGACAGAACTTCCTCTTCCCTCACAAGTAGCGGCTGGGGCTGGGTCAGACCCACCCCCAGAAACCTCTCCTGGCTGCAGGAAGCTCTGCGTCCCCACTTCCTGCCCCCATCATTCCTTCAGCCATGGGAGTGGGGGGTCACTGTATGGGGACCTGCTCCCCTGTCCGCCCAACCCCCCTGCATCCAGATCTCTTCATACCTATGCCTGCTGAGCCTTGCCCTACCTGCGCTTGAACCTCCACCCGGTTGATTCCGTCCCACTGCATCTGGAGTGCCGCCCCTGAATCCATACCAACCCCTGTTGAGCCCCCACCCTAATGGACCTCTCCCTGGACCATCCTAACAAGCTCTGTATCTGGACCCCCAACTGACTGAGACTCAACCAAGCTGCACCCGGACTTCTGCCCCAGCACCTGGACCCCCTCTCTGAACCTCTCACACCCTCTCTTCTGATTCCCATCTCCCCCACACCTCCCTGCTGAGCCCCAACCATCTTCACCTGGACCCCTCTGCAGAGTCCCATTCTCTCTGCATTGGGAACCCCCCCAATGAGCCCCTCTGCATCTAGTTACCCCCCCACCCCTTTCACACTCAGACCATAAGAATAGCCATATTGGGTCAGACCAAAGGTCCATCTAGCCCAGAATCCTGTCTTCCGATATTGGCCAAGGTGCTTCAGAGGGAATGAACAGAATAGGGATTCATCAAGTGATGTATCCCCTGTTGCCCGTTCCCAGCTTCTGGCAAACAGAGACTAGGGACCGCTCCACTGAGCCCCCCCACATCCAGCTTGTCCCACATAGTACTCCCTCACCCCACTTCTGGATTCTCCCTCCACACTTGGGTCCTGCAGGTCTGAGCCTGCCTGCCCCACACCTGGATTGGGGACCAGTGGGTATGTGTGAGAGACGATGCCCCTCTCGCTTGCTATCTTGGTTCATCTGGTGTGGAGGAGCATGACTCTGGGCTGTTTGTGGGATAGGCAAAGCCCTTGCACTGTGTGAGGATCAGGAGGAGCATCACTGCTGAGTTTGTTTCTGGAGGGGCACTGCAGGGTGATCTCCCACCTCCATGCAGCCAGTGGCAAGTGCTCCCGACTGCCATGTTAGAGCCTGTACATTTATTGACAAAATATGCAGAGTTTTAAAATATGTGCAGAATTTTTAATTTTTTGGTGCAGAATGTCCTCAAGAGTAAGATGTGGTATATCTTGACATTAGGAAGGTTTTTGATACTGTCTTGCATGACCTTCTCATAAACAAACTAGGGAAATATAACCTAGCTGGAGCTATAAATTGGCTGCATAACTGGTTGGAAAACTATTCCCAGAGAGTAGTTATCAGTGGTTCTTAATGAAACTGGAAGGGCATATCTAGTGGGGTCCTGCAGGATCGGTCCTGGGTCCAGTTCTGTTCAATATCTTCATAAATGATTTAGATAATGGCATAGAGAGTGCACGTATAAAGTTTGATACCAAGGTGGGAGGGGTTGCAAGTGCTTTAGGGGATAGGATTGCAGTAGAACCTCAGAGTTATGAACACCAGAGTTACAAACTGACCGGTCAACCACACACTTCATTTGAAACCAGAAGTATGCGGTCAGGCAGCACCAGAGGCACTCCTCCTCTCCCCCCCCCCCCCCCCCAAAAAACGCAAGTACAGTACTGTGGTAAATATAAACTACTAAAAATATAAAGGGAAAGTTTTTAAAAAAAAGATTTGATAAGGTACTCTTTCTGTGCTTGATTCATTTACATTAAGATGGTTAAAAGCAGCATTTTTCTTGTGCATAATAAATTTTCAAAGCTGTATTAAGTCAATGTACATTGTAAACTTTTGCAAGAACAAACATGTTTTGTTCAGAGTTACGAACAACCTCCACTCCCAAGATGTTCATAAATCTGAGGTTCTACTGTAAAATTCAAAGTGATCTGGACAAACTGGAGAAATGGTATGAAGTAAATAGGATGAAATTCAGTAAGGACAAATGCAAAATACTCCACTTAGGAAGGAACAATCAATTACAGACATACAAAATATGAAATGACTGCCTAGGAAGAAGTACTGTGGAAAGGGATCTGGAGATTATAGTGGATCACAAACTAAATATAAGTCAACCATTTAACACTGTTGCAAAAAAAGGGGATGTATTAGCAGGAGTGTTATAAGCAAGACACAAGAAGTAATTCTTCCACCCTACTCCATGCTGATATGGCCTCAACTGGAGTATTGTGTCCAGGTCCGGGTGCTGCATTTCAGGAAAGATGTGGACAAACTGGAGAAAGTCCAGAAGAGATCAACAAAAATGATTAAAGGTCTAGAAAAACATGACCTATGAGGAAAGACTAAAAAATTGGGTTTGTTTAGTTTGGAGAAGAGAAGATGTGGGGAGAGGGGACATAGAAGTTTGTTACAAGGAGTGGGGAGAAAAATTGTTCTCTAACCTTTGAGGATAGGACAAGAAGCAATGGGCTTAAATTGCAGCGGGGGTGGTTTAAGTTGGGCATTAGAAAAACTTTGTAACTGTCAGGGAAGTTAAGCACTGAAACATTGCACAGGGAGGTTGTGGAATCTTTGTTTTTGAAGTTTTTAAAAACAGGTCCAGCGGTTCTCAAACTGGGTTGTAGCGCTGTTTTAATGGGGTCACCAGGGCTGGTGTTACACTTAAGAACACATAAAACATAAGAATGGCCATACTGGATCAGACCAAGGGTCCATCCAGCCCAGCATCCTGTCTGCCAACAGTGGCCAATGCCAGGTGCCCCAGAGGGAGTGAACCTAACAGGCAATGATCAAGTGATCTCTCTCCTGCCATCCATCTCCACCTTCTGAAAAACAGGCTAAGAACACCATTCCTTACCCATCCTGGCTAATAGCCATTATTGGACTTAACCTCCATGAATTTATCTAGTTCTCTTGCTGGGCCTTGTGCAGCAAGACTCAGGTTACAGCCTCCCTCCATGGGGTGTCGGGGCTCGGGCTTGCCCCCCCACCCTGTGTAGTAATTTTTGTTGTCAGATGGGAGTCGCGGTGCAATGAAGTTTGAGAACCACTGGATTAGACAATTATCTGTCAGGAATGGTCTAGTTATTACTTAGTCCTGCCTTGAGTGCAGGGAACTGGACTAGATGACTTATTGAGGTCCCTTCCAGTCCTACACTTCTGTGATCTAGTTTCTCAGGCTTTTTCTGTTTCTTTGTCAATCTGCCTTTCTCTTCATCTTCAGTGGAAGCTTGTGTATGTCTATTTATCTCCATCCAGGTCTCTTTTAATGAACAATCCCTTTTAAATAGGAAGTTGCCATACATTGACTTGCAACATTTTTGATTGTTGACATCAATAAAATTTGTTAGGTTTTAAGGAAGTATCTGAAAACAATCCCAATCTCAGAACAATAAGAGATTGTTTTCTGTGTTTGTATTTAAAATACAGCAGCTCAAATAATAGTGTCAGTAGAATTTCTGGTAATTGATAACGAGGTATTATCTAGTAATAATAATAATACAAAATTATTACTGACTTGCATATGTTTACACAAATGATAACATAACGGTTGGTCTAAATATCTAAATACAAACTTCTTTTGTATTAGATGTTTACATTTTTTTTTCTTTTTAAAATAGTTGTTTTGGTAAGCAGACATTTGGACAGCAAAATGACCTCCATTATCAAGTTGACTACGCTCTCAGGGGTGCAGGAGGAATCTGCTCTCTGCTATCTGCTGCAGGTAGACGAGTTTCGTTTTTTATTGGACTGTGGCTGGGATGAGAATTTTTCAATGGATATCATCGATTCTCTAAGGAAGTAAGTAATTGCTTATCCTTTGGTGTTTTTTTTTAATAAAAGCCCTGAAAACACATTACTGCATGTTTTAAAGCATGATATTTTATGCTCATGATGTAGAATAAAAATCCAAATTTTTTTTTTCTGTTTAAAATTGCATATATGATGGGGAAAATCACTCTTCTAAAACCTTTTTAATAAATAGATCTGCTCTGTGTGTATTCTGAGTTATATCAACTTGCATTAGTTACATAAATATAATTTTTTTTATATCTAATAGCCCTGCAGATCCAATATATACAGCTATGAGATACTTAGCTTGGGTCAGTTCTGGCCTATGTATTATCAATAAGGCTGCGAGTCTGTCAGGGAGGCCATGGATTCCATGACTTCTGCAGTGGCTGGGTCTGGCTCAGGGGCTGCCCAAAGTGGGCAGCCTCTGGGCCAGCAACAACAGTTTGGGTGTGTGGGAGGGCGCTCAAACTAGGGGCAGAGTGTTGGGAGCGCCTACCTCAGGGTGGGGGGCTCCCACTGGCATGGCCCTGCAGCTCCCAGGCGAACTGGGGGAACTGGCTCCGCGCTGCCTGTGTCCACAGGTCCCGCCCCCGCAGCTCCCTTTGGCTGGGGTTCCTGGCCAATGAGAGCTGCGGTAGCCAGTGCTTATGCCCCTGTGCTGCCTAGGAGCTGCGGGGACATGGGACCGGGTATGGAGGCTCTTCCAACCTTCCCCACCTCACCCCCCCCCCCCAGCACCAGCAGGGGTCCTGAGCCACTTTCCCCAGCGCCCACGGCCCCCCTCCCAAGTTTTAGTCAGATATTTTTAGTAAAAGTCATGGACAGGTCACAGGCAGTGAATTTTTGTTTACTGCCTGTGACCTGTCCATGACTTTTACTAAAAAATACTTGTGACTAAAACATAGCCTTAATTATCAACAGAATTAACTAAATACAAATAGTAGACTCTTACTGCTGATCATGTATAAGCCAGAAAGAAAACAGTTTGACCCTCATCTGCTATCGGGTGTTTGGGCTGTCAGGAAAAAAAAAATCTGTGTTTTAAACTGAGCAAGTTAGACCTCAGTTCTGCGGCAAATGCATACAGGTGGGCTCTTGCACTGAACCCCATTTAATTCAATGATGGCTCTGTGCATGTGCAGAAAGGGGTCATCCTGTACTTCCTGTGATTACAAGATGGGGGTCTAAATATGGAAGTTCCTGAGAGAACATAAAATCCTCACAATGCCAATTTTTATTACTATTCATAGCATCATCACACATTAAAATCTTTCAAGTACACATTATGATACAATAATTGCAATATGGCCTTTAATATTTTGAAAAGTTTCTTGAACCAGACAGTTATTCTTCAACAAAAGGGTTTTCCTGATACATGTGCTACTCAAATCTGGGTAATAAACATGCTGTTAACATTTCAGAATAAAACATTTTTTTCACTTGTCTGTTGTTCAAGATGTCTCTGTTTTTATAAAATGTTTAGCCAGTAGGTCAAAGAATCGATTTTCTTACTTTTTAAAAACAATCTAGCCACTTACTGTTGTTTGAAATATTTACATTTGACCTCTTCCTCTTTCTTTAAATAGATATTTTTTTAGTTTGGCTTTTACAGATTTGGGACTTGATTCTGTAGCCTTTACTCCTGTTTTTTAAATGGGACTATTCAAATGAGTAAAGGCTGTAGAATTGGGCCCTGAGTCCTAGGCTAATTTAATTTCACAATTAATAAATGTAATGTTTCTTAAAATCTTTTGATAATGTTAGCCATTCAATTATGTAGCAAGGATATTAAGTCATCTCACGTTTTATGATTTATAATTGTAATACAAATAAGCACTAAACAAGCATAATCATTCTGGAGGAGAAAGAAAATATTACATTAAAATGTCAGGTTGGCATGGTACAGCTAGAAGTATTCATGTTCCAGAGCCAACCAAACAGTCATAAATAATTAACTGTGTATAGTTTTCAAAGAGCTTTGGAAAACTAGTTTTGTGAAAAGCTAAGGGAAATTGCATACTAAATCTGTTTAAATACTGGATTCAAGCTATTTCAATTCGGAAATATTTTAATCCCTTATCTTACTATTTATCACTTGTCTGAAATAGTAGTAATGCAATTCCTGTGAGTTTGGAGTTTGCCAAATTAGGAAATTAGACACTTTTGAAACGTTTACTCTAAGTGACTTGAGATCCTAAGTCCCATTTTGAAAAACGACTTGGGCACTTAGGCTCCTAAGTCACTTCAGAGCTTCATAAAATTTTATCCTTAATCTTTATTTTTTATAACAGTTATTAAAACTTTTCCTTAGTTCAAAGTCCCCATTCTGTTGGGGATAAACTGAGTGATTTTTTTTCTGCTTGGCATTTCAGTTTTGCACTTGATGTTACCACAAATAGGCTTTCTTTTTTTTTTTTTCAGTAATTTTTTTCACGTATATTTCCTTTTCCCTCCTAGATATGTACACCAGGTTGATGCAGTGCTACTTTCTCACCCTGATCCTCTACATCTTGGTGCTCTCCCATATGCAGTTGGAAAAATGGGTTTAAATTGTGCTATTTATGCAACCATTCCTGTGTATAAAATGGGACAAATGTTTATGTATGATCTCTATCAGGTATATTTTATTTCTCATTTTCACATGTATTTAATTTATTAAACTGTTTCATATAAGATGATTTTCGGGCTTTTTAATATGTTTTCCTTTGTTTCCTTTTTGTGCTAGTCTCGCCACAATACAGAAGATTTCACTCTCTTTACATTGGATGATGTAGATGCAGCTTTTGATAAAATACAGCAGCTCAAGTTCTCTCAGATTGTGAACTTGAAAGGTAAAAACACAGCAAAAGATGCAGAAGCTGACTTGTCTTTTAATGGATTTACTGTGCATTTTCATTTTGAACTGGAGTTTGCTTTTTTGAGGAGAGTACTTGGCATAGGTCCTCTGACTCACTAAAAGTGGATGAGTAGCACCACTAAGTAACAGATCCTCATTGGTGTAAGCTGTCATAGCTCCACCCCCAGCTGAGGCTCTGCCCCAATGATTACATTTCAGAAAAAGGCCCAACTCCCATTGAAGTTAGTAAGGATTATGCCGAATTGAATTTGACTGTCCCATCCTATGTTTTATTTCTCATCTTTATTTTTTTGATACCTTCCACATCTCTAAAATACATCTTGTTGCTAGCAACATTATTGACAGTTGCTTACATAGTTTCCTCAAGTGAAAAGGAGCACAAATAAAAACAGAAAAGCAAGTTCTTCAGGAAATGGACAGGAGTGTTGGAGATTTCTGCTCAAATTATAGTAGTCTAATGCAGTGGTTCTCAACCAGGGGTATTTCTACCCCTGGCGGTATGCAGAGGTCTTCCAGGGGGTACATCAACTCATCTAGATATTTGCCGAATTTTACAACAGGCTACATAAAAAGCATTAGAAAAGTCAGTACAAACTAAATTTTCAAAAAATGACTTGTTTATACTGCTCTATGTACAATGCACTGAAATGTAAGTACAATATTTATAATCCAATTGATTTATTTTATAACTATATGGTAAAAATGAGAGAGCAGTTTTTCAGTAATAGTGCACTGTGACACTTTTGTATTTTTATGTCTGATTTTGTAAGCAAGTAGTTTTTAAGTGAGGTGAAACTTGGGGATACACAAGACAAATCAGGCTCCTGAAAGGGGTACAGTAGTGTGGAAAGGTTGAGAGCCACTGGTTTAAGGCATTAACACATTTATTGGGACAAAGTTAAGTCCTGTCCACACTAACTAAACCAATGAGAATACATGTAAAGTTTGAACTGTCTTATAACTGGGTCCCCTGACTTGTCATATTTGTAATGTAAATGAGTTCAGAGAGTGTGTGCTGGACACTTCTAAGATTAGAATGTTTGTGCTGGTTACAGGCTAAGTTATGCTCCATCTTTCCCTCTACTGCTGCATGACCACACTTGTGTGTTGTCATCAATTCTAAGAGTATTTCCGTGCAGATAAGTAGTATATTACCTATACTGTGGCACACTAGAAACACATTTCCTGATATTTTTCATAAGAAATGTGTGTGTCCCCTCATGGTCTGGCTGATTTCTAATCTGTGTAACTACATGCACCTTCTGTAATTTCCTAGAAACTTTAATTATTTAAAGCTTGCTGTTCACTTGCTGTTAGCTCTGTAATATTGCATCTCTGGGGTAGAGAGTGGGTAAATGCAACCACTCTCTACCCCAGAGATGGCTGCATTTCACCAGTGTGGTTTGTATGTTATGTTCATAGAATAACTGGCAAAAAGTGCTGCCAGTTGTGTGTTTCTTTTCCTCCTGTTTTCATGGGCAATGCAGCACACAACTGGAACAAACTTAACCTGAGATTGGTGTACCTTTCCCAGCTCTCCATTTCCCGGAGGCCACATGGGGAAGAATCCTTAATCACAGGGAATACTGGAACCTTACACTGTTGTTAATAGTCAGGCTGGAGGGAATAATGATTTCTGATCTCCCTCACTAGTAACTCTGGGTTAGTGATTTATTTCAAACTGCCTTGTGGTTGGGATAATATATTGTAATATGCATGCTATATCTGAAATATTGAGAGGTTACAATATTGTTCCTATAGGGAAAGGGCATGGTCTTTCTATTACACCACTGCCGGCTGGTCACATGATAGGAGGCACAATTTGGAAGATTGTCAAAGATGGAGAAGAAGAAATTGTTTATGCTGTTGACTTCAACCACAAGAGGGAGATGTATGTACAACACAGCAAATCATTTTTTTCCCCAAATTTCAGTTAGTATTGCAATATAATTTAACAGTGCCTGATAATATTTCATGCCAGTGCAAGTATTTAAGATTGCAAATTTCACTTCAACTAAAATAGCTGGATTTGATGATGGCTATGTACAACAGAGCAGTAAGATCTCTGTTTCCTCCTTCTCAAATCCTGTTTTCAATTTAATTGTAAGTTTTGAAACAGAAAATGTGCAGTGCTACCGTTGGGGAGAGGAGGGGATATCTCTCCTCCCAGTTGAAAAAGGAGAATAAAAAATATAAATAGTGTATTTTTTTAATAAAAATAAAAAGAAGCAATCTTCTAAGAAGAAGATTAAGACAATGATAAATAACTGTCCCCTTTATCAGGGGAAAAACGACCATGCTAATGAGCCCCTGAATGCCAATATATGGTCCAACTTGTAATCAAGACTGCAGATGCGGTGGGAGTCAGGACAGACATAAATGTTGCATAGTAATCTAGGTACAAAATGCAGATACCAAAGGCTTCAGTGTGTGTGTGTGGCGGGGGGGGGGGAGGGGGCAATGTGGGGGAGAAGGAGGGTTTGAATCTTAGATTTATATTTGTGGGAAATTGCAGTGTTAATTTTCTCCTTTGATCAAAATGTGATTACAGGGCAATTTTTGCTTGTAGGAGTATTCACAGCTGGTCTCATAAAGAAGTAATTCAAGAATAAGTGAAATGGGACAGGCATTTCTTAGACAATGAAAAAAGTACATAGGTGACTTGGTGCTTAAAATGAGGAAATAATTATATTTAGATTATTGTGAAAATGTTTAAGATCCTTTAAAAAGAGAAGAGGGCAAATCTCCCCTCTCTTCCCCCCACTCCCACAAAAAAGAGAGATTATATTCTGTGTTGCTTTAGGAAGATTTTGTTTTAAATTAAAATGTGTCAAAGGGACAAATGGAGACAAGAATAAAATCAGAGTGGAAGAAGTTTGCAGACTTAAAACAAATTATTTGGGGTTTGTTTGTCTTAAACTAAATTTAAGGGGTGGTGAGAGATTTCGGGGAAGGAAAGGCATGACAAGTAGAAGATGAAAGCAGGGTGAAGTGCCATGCTTTTGGCCTAACAAAAAACTCTTCTTTCTAAACATGGCATAAGTACATGGTTATGAAGCCAGATCATCCATGTTCTAGTACATTTTCTCTTAAGAAATATCATCCGATTCCTACGATAGAGGGGATTTTACAAGGTTTTTTGTTGTTGTTTATTAAAAGACAGTAAGAATCTAATTGAAAATATGCCAAATAATGGGGAATGCCAGTTCTGCACATTGAAAACTATCACATTGAGAACTATCTTATGACTTTTTTTGCCTTGTTGTTAGAAATACAAAAACTGAACTTGTGTGGCCTAACTTCTTTTTCTTCAGCCATTTAAATGGATGTTCTCTGGAAATGTTGAGCAGGCCTTCGCTGCTTATCACAGATTCCTTTAATGCTACTTATGTACAACCCAGACGGAAGCAAAGAGATGAACAACTGTTAAGTATGTATTTTGCCAAATCAGTTAAAGCAGTAGTAATGCTTTTTCAATTGAGTTATAAACTTCTACAACAAATGCAATATACATGAAAATTGAGAATCTTTAATTTTCTTTTAAGTTTCTGATTTATTTTTATTTTTTCTAACACTAGTGATCCTGTGAATAAACATATTTTCAGATAAGAAGTGATTGAGTCATGCTTGCTAAAATTGATTCAAAGACTTCATGTTTTGATCTAGCCTTAGCTTATCTGTTCCTGTGAGATAAGGAAGTAAATTTCAATAGTTCTTTGTGCTTCATTTAAAAAAAATCATTAAAATGGATTTAAAAAAAGAAATTACTATTAAATATTAAGGCTGAGCCTTTCAAAGCTCTATAAAAGGGGCACAGCTCCCAAAATGGGAATTGTGCATCAATATCTCTTTGAAGCCGAGATTTTTCAGTGCTGCTTATTGTCAGTTAATCTTTGAGTTTAGTTTTCCTCTGATTATAGTTGATGTTTGGTAGAGAAAATAAAAATCTTTCTTCTCTTCTAATTGTGGTTCAATGTGCAGCTACTTGATTTTATTTATTTTTTTATTTCTCCCCTCCCATCCCACTCCAGCCAATGTCTTGGAGACTTTGCGAGGTGATGGAAATGTGTTAATAGCCGTGGATACAGCAGGCAGAGTTCTGGAACTTGCCCAACTTCTTGATCAGATTTGGAGAACAAAAGATGCAGGATTAGGAGTCTACTCTTTAGCACTTTTAAATAATGTCAGCTACAATGTAGTGGAGTTTTCTAAATCACAGGTGTGTTCTGATATTAAAATACAATTATGAAGGGGCTAATTATTTTCATTCTTAATGCTGCTTGATAACAGTAGGCTTATCCAAGGACATGTAGTTCTGTTTAACAGGAAGAAAAATTTCTGTGTTACTGGTCTGACTTCCCTATTTCAGAGTGGGCACTCATGATCTAAATTCCCTCCATCAAGTAATATACAACCAGAATACTGCCAGTAGTATGACTTGATAGATAGGGAAATCCATTTTCTTTGTACCACATGATCTGTTAGCCTACGTTGCAGGTGTGATAAAGAATATTTAATTTTTATACATGATATGTGATTGCCCACAAAGAGGTATTGGTAAAGAGACTGATTTGATGTGTGTGCATACTGCACCTGTCAACTTGAGAATCTCTAGAAGAGCATTTTTTAATGTTGTCAAGTACAAGTATCGAGTTTGTACATCAGTTTTAGTTATTACAAAGTACCATGTAAAAATCTTACAGATGACTTAGCACTTTTTTCCAATACCACCCTTAGGTTGAATGGATGAGTGACAAACTGATGAGGTGTTTTGAAGACAAGAGGAACAATCCATTTCAATTCCGCCATCTCTCATTATGTCATAGTCTTTCTGACCTGGCTCGAGTGCCTAGCCCAAAAGTCGTGCTTGCCAGCCAGCCTGATTTGGAATGTGGGTTTTCAAGAGATCTCTTTATACAGTGGTGTCAGGATTCCAAAAACTCTGTCATTTTAACTTATAGGACCACACCTGGGACGCTAGCACGATTTCTTATAGATAACCCTTCTGAAAAAGTTATAGATATAGAGGTAAGGAAATACGTTACAGTTCAGATTTTCTGATGTTTACAACTGTGGCAGTGTGTGCAAGACCTAGCTTAAATTTCTTTTCTGATTGTACTATTGAAAATTTTGTCTAGTTGCTGAGAGAATTCTTAAGCCACTTATTTCCTGGCGTGTCAAACTGTAGTTACAGTTAAGCATGGCATCGTCAAACAAGAATAAGATCAAAAGTAGATTTTATGGTAGGGAATTATAATATATTAGCTGAAGGGCAAGGTTATAAAATCTGTAGCATAAGCATAGAAATTGCTAAAAATACCTTTCAAATCACAGAAGCGCTCCCATGTTACAGTAAACAGAAAGTAATTGTACAGTTTCCTGTCGATGTTTAGATGGCAAGGTACATTAGCTTATTTGGACAAAAAAATCATTTGGAAAAAGAAAGTCAAGCTGAGTGAGGTTAATATAACACAAGAAATTTAAAAAGAAAATGAAGGGTGGAAAATAAAAGGGAATAGTTGACTTATACAGCTGATTTCAGTCATTTTTCATATTACACCTGCTCATGATTCTACCTGCCAAATTTTATGGGAGTGTATGGGAGTGTACACATCTGTGACTTTAAAGGGGTTCTTTAGCAATTCCCATATAGATTCTGCAGCTTTCTTTTATAATTTCCTAAAAGCATAGAATGACACTAAATGCATTATTGACCTCGGGATACAGCATTATTTAGAAAAACGTATACTGTCGTATGCCTTCTTTAAAGCCAGAGCAAAATTTGCTACTGTTCCCTATAATAGTATTCAAGTTTGACATTCTGCTCTTGTTTGTCAGTTGCAAAGACAGGAAAACCAGAATACTAACACCAGATATTATTTGGGGGTGAATTATGCCCTGTTCAGTTACTGAAAGAAGGGGAAAAAATAATTCCCCCACTGTAAGTTACTAAATGAAGATCAGTTTCAATTTAGGAGTTTTGCAAAGTGAATCAGTTGATTTTTTTAATACAGTTTTACTATAACTATTTTATTGTTAAGCATGGTAATACTATATTTGCTCAATTTCTGCAGTACTAGGGATTTTATTTACATTTTAGAGTAAGTTCCTACTGAACTCAATGTGGGTGGCAGACTGTAGCTTTAATCACTTTGGTATCCTGATACTGATTATGACCGGGTAAAAGTTTTAATTGGTGCAATAGAAGGGGTATTAAAACTTCCAAATAAAAGTTACAGCTTGTTTGAAGTTGCTTACTCTAATGCAGTTTTTCCTCTCCTTATATTTTTACACACACACACACACACACACACACTTTTTCTTTTTAGTTGAGGAAACGTGTCAAACTTGAAGGGAAGGAACTTGAGGAGTACCTAGAAAAGGAGAAACTAAAGAAAGAAGCAGCTAAAAAGTTAGAACAGTCCAAAGAGTAAGTATGTTTCTTATTAATGCAGTGGGCTCTTAATGCCAAAGACACAGCTTTCAAGTAACCAATATACCTTACTACCTTTTGGAAATAGCTGAAAATTGTAGCTTCCATAGGTGAAAATACAGTAACTCCCCACTTAACGTCGTTTCGATCTTACGTCCCTGCTCAATTACAGAGCATGCTCCATTTAAAGTTTGTGCAATACTTCGCTATAAGGTTGTTTGGCTGCCTGCTTTGTCAACAGCTGGCAGCCCCCCTATCAGCACCCCTACACCCGTCCCCTTTACCCCCTCCCTCCACCTCCCACCCTCCGGCAGACCCCGCAGATCAGCGCCTTCCCCCTCCTCCCCTCGCCTCCTGCCTGCGGCAATCAGCTGGCTTGCGGCGTTCAAGGGGGGGGGAGGAGTGAGGACTTGGCGCACAGGCTCCCCCTCCCTCCCCTGGCTCCAGAACGGGAGGGGGAGCCTGCGCGCGATGTCCTCACTCCTGCCTCCTGAATGTTGCAAGCCAGCTGATTGCCGCTGGCAGGGGAGGGAGGGTGGAGGAGCGAGGACGCGGAGTAAGGGGGGGGGGGAGAGGCGGTGGGGGGGCTTGGGGGAAGGGGTGGAGTGAGCGGGCCGAGGCTTCAGCCCCCTGCCCCTGGTGCTTGCAGAGTAGGGGAAGCCGTCACTGCTACTGCACAACGTGTTTCTCCTAGCCTACAGCACCTTCAGCCTCCTTGCCTGCCTCATCTTAGTTCTTCAGCAATAACTGATTTTAAATGTTTCTAAATGTTCATTAATTGCAAAATTGGGCATGTGACCATCTGAATGCAGGCAATGGCCAGCAAATGTTTGGTATGTAACTTAAAATGAAATTTTATACGTGTGTAGGGGGGGGTGTAAAATGAAACTAAAAAAAAATAATAACTTAAAATCCATTTTGGGGTAACATTTCAGGGTAGATATTGATTCCAGTGATGAGAGTGATGTTGAAGAGGATATTGATCAGCCATCAGTGCATAAAACTAAACATGACTTGATGATGAAAGGTGAAGGAAGCCGAAAAGGAAGCTTCTTCAAACAGGCCAAGAAGTCTTATCCGATGTTTCCAGCCCCAGAAGAAAGAATTAAATGGGATGAATACGGGGAGATTATCAAGTATGTGCAGGAAAAAATAGTAATATTATTTGTATAGTATTTTGTTTTTGAAGCACTTGCGACAGACCTGTGAAGTAGGTATTATCCCCACTTTAGACAAAGGATAACAGACAAAAATTAAGACAAGTTGCTGTAGGCCCCACAGAAAATTAGTGATAGTGCCAGGAATGAAATTAAGAAGTTCTTCCTTTTTTCCTCCTGCTCAAGCCATTTAAATCATGCTGCCTCTCTAGGCACTTTCTTTATCCTAGAAGAGAGTAGTGATTAAATTCTTTTCTGTTCAATGTGAACCTGATTTTTGTTTAAATTACACAGTCTGATTTGTAAACTTTAAAATGAAAAGGAGGGAAAACAGAAACCGCTGGCTTCCAACAAAGAGGATATCTGCCTTTTAAGGAACTCCGACTAAAAAGATAGAGCGAATCTTGCAGACTGTTGGCTGAATGTAAATGCCAGAAATTGGAATATCTAAAAGATATTAATCTGGAAGAAATATAGTTAATCTGGGGTGAAATATCCTTGAGCATGTTTAGATATTGTAATCTTAAAAGCATTTCTGCTGAGCTTATATACTTTTAATTGTAAAGCAACTCAACGGTAATATAGTGTAACAGTAAATATGGTTTGTGTAGCACCTAGAACCATGGTGCTACTTTAATACAAATAATTAAAAATTTCAACCTTAGGCCTGAGGATTTCCTAGTTCCAGAGCTTCAAGCAACTGAAGAAGAAAAGAGTAAATTAGAATCTGGTCTGACAAATGGAGATGAGCCTATGGACCAAGATTTATCAGATGTTCCTACCAAATGTATTTCAGCAACAGAATCAATGGAAATAAAGTGAGTGATTTTTAGATAAACTGGAGGGCACTGTTTGTCAGGGATTCACAATTGAAATGGCTGATGCATTGCAAACAGTGTTTAGTTGCTTATGGTTTGTTTGTTTTTTCTCAAAAAAAATATTTTTCAGGCTGAAACTTCATGATGGCTGCTTATTTTTTTTCCAAATCCAGAGGGAGATTTTTCTGGGGAACTGGAAGATATATATATATATATATATTTTTTTTTTCAAGTTTGTGAAAAGGGTAGAAAAATCATTGAAATAGCCACATGTATTTCAAGTATCACCTATTAAATCCCTTTTTTGTAAAGAAAACTAATTGAAAGAAAACTACATCAATGTAGCATTAATCATTATTTTATGGCACCCAGAAGGATGCTAGGTGCCTTGTAGCACAGATGAAAAGACACAAAAGAAGATTTTGCCCCTTTCTCTTCCTCACCCCCACCTTAGATGGTGCTTGGGTGGTTTAAAGGGCTGGGGGAGAATTCCACTGGTGCAAGCGCTGCATTGGGCTGCCATATATGGCCCAACTGTGGCCTTCTCCCCACTCTCTTCCTCTTGCAGTCTCTGGCATTTTGGGGGGCATAGTGCACATAACTACTGCCATTCTGACTTATGCTGCAAGCAACACTGGGGAGGCTTCTGTAACTTACAACAGACCCACTTCCTTAGGCTGCCTAAACTAGGCTGGGGGCCTGTTTTGAAGTCAGGAAGGCACAAAGTGGCTTAAAGCTTCCTTTGGGCTGCACCTCTTGTGCTGCTCCTCCTGGAGGTGACACAGAATTTGACTCGTGGTTCCTACTCTGAAGAGTTTAGTCTACTTTTATACATGATGTGGGATAGGGCAGGAGAGGGAATGGGAAAGGAAGAGCAAGTGATACAGCAATAAGACAACATAATAATTCTCTCAAAATTTAGGACAAAGCATTAATTATTTTTTTCTTTTAAAATCAAATTAGAGCCAGAGTTACATACATAGACTATGAAGGACGCTCAGATGGTGACTCCATTAAAAAAATCATTAACCAGATGAAGCCACGACAGTTGATCATTGTCCACGGTCCACCTGAGGCCAGCCAGGACCTTTCAGAGTCTTGCAGAGCTTTTGGTGGGAAAGATATTAAAGTTTATATGCCTAAATTGCATGAAACTGTAGATGCAACCAGTGAGACTCACATCTATCAGGTAAGATGGTGGAATTCATCAATTGTATGAGTACTGAGGGATGTGAGAGCTCTACATTGATCAGATTATGTCATTATTTGGCTGTGCCTTTTGGAGGGAAAGATGATAATGGTATGAGCACTTACATCTACTTAAGACAATTAACTTGTTTCTGGGGAAAGATGGAAACATTTCCATTATAATCTTGTAGATATTACATATGTTATACCTATACATTATGTAATCACTACATTAATAGACGTTTAAGATTACATATTTAAGCCTGCAATTATAAAGTGCAAAAGGAAAGTATCTCATTCAACTTGCTCTGCTGAACACATTGTCTATATTTAGATATCCATTTGAGTCCCAGTCCTGCATTCCATGTATATCCAAAATTCTTATTGAAACTGCTATAAGAGTTTTGGGTGCAAAAGAAATAGCCCAAGTAGTAACTGAAAATATGCATGTCAAGTAAGAGCAACTTAATTTTACTAAAAACCTTAACTATACCATTACTCTGTGTGTGTGTGTGTGTGTGTGTGTGTGTGTGTGTGTGTGTGTTTCCCTCTGTGTGTGTAACATGAAAAAAACTAGAGAAATTGCCTGAGCATGTCAGCATTATAGATGGTTCCAACTAAGCTTCGAAGCAGAGATCTAATGGAGGGGCAATGGGGCTAGAGAGAAGAGTACATACCTCAGTTTGAAGGGAGCGGTGTATAAAAGAGAGCATGCGAGAGCTGATTGGAGAAACTCCAATGGAAATCCAAACTGAAATGCTTCTCGAAATTGTTGGGTGGTTTTTGTTTTTAGAAAACCAGGGTAAAGTTCTAACAGTATTGAAACATCTCATTTCAGCTGTTCTGGAATAAAACATTATGATTTTTCATTTTGAAAAAACTTCTTATAATTTTGTATTATAATAAAAAATGTCAAAATTGCAAAATGTTTTGATGGACCTGAAACAGTATTTTTTTTTTTTTTGGAGTTTTCCTTTATGGAGAACTTTAGAACTTTCAAGTCTCATTCTAATTCAGAAGAAAATCAGATTTCAAAATCAGTCACAGAACAAATTTTCTGCTCTCTGCATAGTGCTAGTTCATGCCTTTGCAGTATTAACATCTGAAAAAGAAACAGATGGGGGGGCATCAGAAGAAGAAATCAAATTTGTTTTTTGGGAGGATTATGATTTGTGTTTATAATGAAACCTTTGCAAGTCTCCTTCATGCACTTGATCCCAACAGCAGCATCTGGGGCTGGGAATACAATGCCACTGTGAATAGTGATGTCTCAAAAAAGGCAGGTTTTTACTGGAATCTGTTAAAATCTTAGATTCTAGTTTAATATGGTTAAAAGTGATGTTTTAGTCACTTAAAGTTTAGATTTTTAATGTTTTCCCATCATGACTGGTAAAGAGCTACATAAGTGCCATTTTAATGTAAAGTTGATAAGTTGTGTGGCTTTTTTTTTTCTTTTTAAATCTCTGCAATAATTCAAATAGCAGAAGGAACCATTCTTAAACATCCCAAGACCAATCAAGGATAGTTTGTCCTACAGAAAAATATTTCAGATTAAAAATATGTGAAAAGGAGAGTTACAATGAAAGTCTCTCCTTAACCGAACAAGATCTTGCTGTCTCAAAAGCCACAGTCTGATCTGTTTATCTTTACCAAGAAAGAGCACTAACATTGGTTTGTTTTTATCTGCTGCTTTCCAAACCAATTGTCAGGTGCAAGCTGTGTGTACTCTTCTGTCACTTAGTGTTGTGCCTTATTGCTGGGGGGTTTTTTCCAAAGAGTGTGATGGATCCAAACAACATGGTGTCATAATGAATGGGGAAATTATTAATTTTAAAAAAGTTTGGTGTTAAGAGCCTGTGAAATGTGCTGTCAGGTTTGCTTATGTAAATAAGTCATTACAGTTTTTGTCTGTGTGCAACTTAGGTCAGGTTAAAAGATTCTCTGGTCAGCTCCCTTCAGTTCTGTAAAGCGAAAGATGCAGAACTAGCTTGGATAGATGGTGTCCTGGACATGCGGGTTTCAAAAGTGGACACCGGAGTCATTCTGGAAGAAGGAGAACTGAGAGAAGATGGAGAAGACTTGGAAATGCAAGTGGATATGCCTTCTTCTGACTCCAGTGTTATAGCACAGCAAAAGGCTATGAAGAGTTTGTTTGATGATGATGATAAAGAAGTATGTGAGGAGAGTGAGATCATTCCTACTCTAGAACCACTGCCACCACATGAGGTAGAAAAGCTTTTGCCTTCTCTTGGCTACATGCTCTTTTATATTTGTGGGGATTTGAGTCTTATATTTGTGGGGATGATTTGCAGGTATAGTTTTTTCAACATTTAAAGCCTGACTTTAAGCAGGACTTATTCAGATAAAAGTCTCTTTAAAGTCAGGAGCTTTGCTTGAATAAAGCCTCCAGTATCGGACTGTTCATGTTGTAAATTGGTGTCTTAGGGTTTATTTTCACTATGGGTGTAAGTCGACCTAAATTACGCTACTCCAGCTACGTATCTTAGGTCGACTTACCCCAGTGTCTTCACTGCGCTGCGTCGACAGGAGATGCTCTCCCCTCAAATTTCCTTACTCTTCTCGGAGAGCTGGAGTACCGGGGTCGACCAGAGAGCGCTCTGCCGTCGATTTAGCGGGTCTTCACTAGACCTGCTAAATCGATCGCTGCTGCATTGATTGCAGCAGTGTCTATCTCCCCGTATTGAAGACCAGCCCTTAGTGTGATTTTTACAGTTGTTACACAGCTACTGCTTTCTTTGTTCAGGATGTGAGCTCTTCAAGACAGAGAATGCCTCTCTATTATATATAATATACAGTACCTACCACAATGTGACCCTGATCTCAGATGGGGCTTCTAGGTACTGATGCAATAAAATTTTCTATTTATTATGTGACCTGTGCACTTACCATACATGGCTTTGGAAATCAGTTGGTATTTGGGTTGTCAAACAATTAAAAAAATAAATTGCAATTAATCCTGAGATTTAAAAAATAAATTGCGATTAATCGCAGTTTTAATTGCACCGTTAAACATTAACATAATACCATTTATTTAAATATTTTTGGATGTTTTCTATATTTTCAAATATAGGCAGGGGGCTTGGGGCTTCAGCCCTGCTTGGGACTCGCTCGGGGCTTGCGTGGGGCTCCAGGCTCAAGCCTCCACCCCTACACCAGGCTCCGAGCTGAGGCTTCAGCCCCTTCACTACCAATGCCTTTCTCCCCTCCCCCTCCACCCAGAGGTATGCAATTAATGTGTTTAAAAAATTAACGCATTAATTTTGTTTTCAGTTAATCGCAGGCATTAGCTGTGATTAATTGACAGCCCTAGTTAGTAACACTCCTTGGATTTACTCTTAAATTTCATCTGAGACTATGGTAAATGTTTCCTTATCATATGTAGGTTAAAGATAGATACATGCACAAATATAATTTCAAAAAGAAGCACCTAACTGACGAGCAGAAGATCAGACAGTGCAATTCTTAATAGCACTCTTCGTCCTTAGTCCTCAAATACTTTTGCGTATTTGGGTAGATATCATTAACTCCTTTTAAAAAAGAGAAAACTGAGACGTACAGATATTAAGGGTAAGGTCTTGTGCTGCAACTCTTAGCCCGGATGGAGGTAGGTTGCTACCTTTGTATCTTCCCAAACCAGTACTGCTGAGGGCCTCTGTATCCCTTGGAGCATAACTTGGGAAGGCACCTAGGGCTATCTAAATTATGGCAGCCTTCCTGGGCTGTGCTATGAACCACAGGGTTGATTGTCGGGGCACCGCTCCCAGCACACCCCTTGCCCCAGGGCTTGTGAGCAGGTCCTACAAGGGCAGCCTTATGGCTGTCTGACACAATGCCTATGTAGGGGGAAATCCTCTCTTGGCTAGATCCAGGGCTTATAGGGCTCTTTCATCTGGCATAAAAGGGCTTGAGTATGGGTGAGAATCTCACCCTAGTAGACTTTGCTAAGATCACAGAGCTTGAAAAGGAAACCAGAGTTTCCCATGCCCTGTCCTGCAGGTCCATGCTCCCAGCAGAGACCAGGAGTTGCGAGTGAGGAGGCCTTCTTAAAATCATTACACCTATCAAAGGGGAAATCAAATAAATTAGGGCTGTCGATTAATCGCAGTTAACTCACACTATTAACTCAAAATAATTAACCCGTGGTTTAAAATATTAATCGTGATTAAACTCAGTTTTAATCACACTTTTAAACAATAGAATGCCAATTGAATGGATTTTTGGATGTTTTTCTACATTTTCAAATATTTTGATTTAAATTACAACACAGAATACAAGGTGTACAGTGCTCACTTTGTTATTGTTTTTATTACTAATATTTGCACTGTAAAAACAATAAACAAAAGAAACAGTATTTTTCAGTTCATCTCATACAAGTACCATAATGCAATCTCTTCATTGTGAAAGTGCAACCTACAAATGTAGATTTATTTTTTTGTCACATAACTGCATTCAAAAATAAACCAACATAAACCTTTAGAGCCTACAAGTCCACTCAGTCCTACTTCTTGTTCAGCCAGTCACTCAGACAAACAAGTTTGTTTACATTTGCAGGAGATAATGCTGCTAGGCGTTCACATGGCACTTTTGTAGCAGGCATTGCAAGGTATTTACATGCCAGATGCACTGATTCATATGTCCCTTCATGCTTCAACCACCATTCCAGCGGCATGTCCATGCTCAATAATGACCCAAGCAGTGCAGACCGATGCATGTTCACTTTCATCATCTGAGTCAGATGCCACCAGCAGAAGGTTGATTTTCTTTTTTGATGGTTAGGGTTCCGTAGTTTCCGCATTGGAGTGTTGCTCCTTTAAGCCTTCTGAAAGCATGACTCTTAAACCTTAGGTCCTGCTGTAGCTATCTTTAGAAATTTTTGTACATAATTTGACATTTGTATGTTCAACTTTCATGATAAAGAGTTTGCACTACAGTACTTAAGTGAATTGAAAAATACTATTTTTTTGTTTTTTACAGCACAAATATTTGTAATAAAAAATAAAGTGAGCACTGTACACATTGTATTCTGTTATAATTGAAACAATATATTTGAAAATGTAGCCAACATCCAAAAATATTTAAATAAATGATATTCTATTATTGTTTATAGTGCAATTAATCGCGATAATTTTTTTTAATCGCTTGACAGCCCTAGAATATTTTTTCCCCCAATCGTATACTGAGTTACTTTATTATAAAGGCTTCATAAAAATGTTTTACTAAAATCTTTAGAAGATTTCTTCTTTGTACTTTATTCATTGAAAGGTTATTGGACATCAGTCTGTTTTCATGAATGAGCCAAGACTGTCTGATTTTAAACAAGTTCTTCTGCGAGAAGGAATTCAAGCTGAATTTGTAGGAGGGGTGCTTGTGTGCAACAACCTAGTGGCTGTTCGTAGGGTAAGTATGTTGTTTTAAAAAATATCTAGAATATATGCAATGCATTGTGTATCTCCCTCACCACTTCACTGTCAAGATAATAGATTTAAGTATGTTTTTTGTTTCAGACTGAAACAGGGCGCATTGGATTGGAAGGCTGTCTTTGCCAGGACTTCTATAGAATAAGAGATCTTTTATACGAGCAATATGCCATTGTCTAAAGGAGATGCTGTGAAGATGTCTTTACTTGAACTTTAAAAGATAGTGGAGATTTCTACCTTTTTATTTTTGTGGGTATCTTTTTGTAATTTTCTAATTTCTACAGAGAATACTGATTCTTCAGAAAAGTTAGACATCAAAATCCAGTAAACTAACCTAAACAGGTAAATAATTGCTACCACAGTTCTATGTAAGACATCTCTTGGTACATTCCACATTGTTGGCTTTCAAACTGTTAAAGATTATTGTTGCAAATACCATTGGTATGCTATAATTGAGATTGACAGTTTCCTTTATGAACTTTCTTCCAAGAAGGATTTAACTAGTCATAAACATACTCTTTGACATGACATGGCATTCCAAGTCTCTGCCTAAGAATGCAAATGTATAAAAAGAATCAATTTTCCTATTTTAAAAATATAAGAAAGGGTTGTCTTTGATTTTTGTGGGGGAGGTTCTTCTACTGAACAGTAGAAGTTTCAGTAAAAAGTTTCTAGGCCATTGAAAATTGGCCAAGTGCTTAATAGTGACTTTCCTGCAATGGTTAATATGCACCCTTGTTAATACTGTAACTGCTTCATGCTACTGATTGATACAGTACATCATAAGATATTGTGAAATAAAATTTCAGTTTCCTGGGTCAAAAAGCCAGCTTTAAAATGTTATAAGGTACTTTAATACAAAATGACTGGAAAAACAAAAGTTGTCTGACAGATCTGCTAACCACATGTTTTTGCATTTTCTAGCTACTGTATATGTATAACTTCTAGTTGTTGCAATCTGTTATGCCAATTATACTTCTCTTTTGAGAATTTTGATTTTAATACTTTCAAGAAAAAAAACACCTGCATTCTGTAATTCTTATAATAAGCAGTGCACAGTGAGCTAAGTTCAGGAAGGTATTCTGTCCTTAAGTCTGAATTCTTCGCTTTGTGGATTTATCCCCTTGGTACGAGGTTTCATACTACTTGTTTTTCCTATTGCTGGCAGTGGGATTACAGCCACTGGTACCAAAATTTGTTAGATTTTTAGTTGAATATGAACAGTCTTGGGTCACTTAACTTCTTACATTTCTGAATTGAAAACTGTGATGGAACACATGCAGAGCACTGGTCTATTCATGAGAAATTACTTTTTTATTCTCGACCTTCGGTTTTAACCAGTGTTTGAAATTATTCTTTGTTTATTACGACGACGGTGTCTTAAACTTGTTCAGCCTTCATTTGTTTATTTTAAAAAAAAGGCAAACAAAACTTTTAATGAAATATGGGCAAAAACCAGCTCTGTGAGCTGCTGCTGAAGTGAACATTAGTTTGTTGTTCATTCTTGACTATTAGGCATTTTATAGCTATTCTTCAAGTTGTCTGTTTATAGTGTTTTAAGTTCCTATTCCAACTTTTAAAGAAAACTGGGATAAGCATTCAGAAACTTCTGATACTAGATGTAAAAATGTGTAATGCATTCTAAAATATGATTTAGAGGAAATTTATGTATTTTGATGCACACAAATTCCTGACTAGAAATAATGAGAGATCTGTAGTACTTGGGGGCTGAACCCAAGTTTCTTCATTCTCCTCTCCTTGCTTACCACCACTTCATGGAATTTGGAGGAAATACCATGAAGGAATTTTAAGTAAGTAGGCTTTTTTTATGGGAAAGAAATGTAGGACCACGCCTTTTAATATAAAATGTAATGAAGATTTCTATAATCATCAGTCCCCATAACCTAAGTTGAGGTTTACCTTGAAGCTAAATGACTTTCTTGTGGGTGAAAGGCTAATTTTTATTCCTTCTGCTTTACCTCAACTCAAATACACTCTATCAAAGTTGAAAATCTACTCCTCCCCCACCCCCTTGGGCAATATTGAGAATTGTTTAAGGCAAAAGATTCAGGGAAGCCTTTGCAAATAAGTTTTAACAGCGGGAAGGAGAATATGCCCAGTATTAAACTGGAATGGAAAGGTTCTTATGAGAACACTTGAGAGCAATCCTTTGGTAAAACTATGCTGGAAAATTGAGATGTCTGGTACCCCTGATCTAATTGTAATTGTAGTCAGACACTTCTTCATTTGATATAAACAAGCAAAGAGACAACCCCTTTGGGTCCCAACTGTCAGAAAAGTTCTACCATAAAACTCATTGCTACTCTGCTGAATCAAAAGCACTCTGATGTAGCAAGGCACAAAAAAGTGTGTGAATTTTCCAGTTGGGAAAGGAAGCATTTTGCCTTTGGAGAACATTTTAAGGTCAGGCATAAGTTTTTGGGTTTTTTTTTTTTTTTTTAAAGGTTTTTCAGTAAGATTCAAGATAGAAGCAGCTAGAAGCTTGTATAGTACTTTACACTCCATGGTTGTTACTGATATTTTATTTTTTAAAATTTGTTAAATTAATTTAAAGCCTTTATGCATAGAAATCTGTTAAAGACATCTGTCAAGTCAGGAGGATGAAATCAGTTTTTTTGTTTTGTTTTGTTTTTTAGTTCATACGAAGCACCACAATGTTTGGTTTTTTTCCACCCTTTAAAAATAATGGTTGTTGGGGAGGGGTTGGTTTTTCTTTTTAATTGGATGGTGATTTGAGGTATAGGGCTCAATCCCCAAATCATCTGTGTCACGGATTACTATTTAAATTAATGGAAGTTCCAAGTGCGCTGTGCACACAGTAAATGACATTACTCATCAAAATATTTTAAAATGTTTAGAATTTTGTAAACTATCAGTGTAAGGTAAGTTATAAATATGGAGGTCTAAAGACCTTTTCCTGTGTTACAGAGAAGCTTTCTGGTTGAAAAGACATCTGAGTTTAAAGAATAAACATTTTTGGTTCAAAAGCAAGTGTTCATCATTCTGAGGCTCTGTTTTGTAATAGAATCTGTAGAATAGTGACTCCTGAGTCTGGTATACCCAGAATTGGGCAATTAACTGGACCTAACATCTAGATATACTCATTTTTAGAAAATGCTGCTTTTTTCTCTCTCTCTGTTTCCAGCAAGGTTGAATACACCCATGTAATAAGTGAAGCTTTTTATAGAGAATTTTCTGTGGTGAAGTCTGTTTCCTCAAGGTACAAGGCCCAACTAGACTAAACTTCTTACTTTGTGTGAGATAATGGTTGGTACACATTATGAATTATTGATGTTTATCATATTGCATGACCCATCATGGCCAAATTATGGAAGAGATAATTGCATTCTGCCTGCCTAAATTCCCCTAATTTTATAAGTTACTTTTCACTTCCCTGCCCTAAAAATTATTTTGTGTACCATTGCCTTGTTGTCACATTGTACTGCAAAGATGGTTGCATTTCAGTGGTGGCTTTAGATGATCCAGGTCTTTTTGTGTGCAACACTTTGATATTAGTAAACAGTGGGGGGGAAAGATTTAGAGAAAAAATATATGCAATATATATAGATAGATAGCTAGATACTGCTGGGGAATCTTTCCTTTCAAGGGAGCCAGGTTTAGTTCCTGGCATATAGTTAGCTGAGTTAACAAAAATTTGGTTGGTACTCCTCAGGCAGAGCTCCAGGGCTAACAACTAGATGTGAATATTTGTTTAGTGAGGGTAGTTTTGACATATCTAGTGAGGAACGGGAGACTGAAATTTCCAGATCTACCTCCAAAGCCAAGTGTCCAGTTGTCTTTGAAGAATGTTCCTAGTGTTGGAAAGAATTTAGGAATTAGTGAACAGAAGATGAGAACTTGTTCCCACTAAATAAGTCAGCCATATTCTTAAATACTGAGATTCTTTTATACTACAAACACTCATGACATAGAAAACCTTAAGGAAGATATTCTTGTGCTGGTGGGTGGTTCCTAGCATCTTTCCTCCACTTTTTATTTCCCCAGAAACATGCTTAACCCCTATAATTATTCATTAGCTATTTTACATTTGTATTGTAAATATGTATATAATGTATATTTAGATTTGCTACCTAGCAAAAATGCAGAAGAGGATAAGTCTTAAAACAGGGGTCCTCAAACTTCATTGCACTGCGACCTTCTGACAACAAAAATTACTACACAACCCCAGGAGGGGGGACTGAAGCCTGATCCAGGGTGAGGGGGCCAAAGCTCAAGCCCCACCACCCGGGGCGGGGGGGTAAAGTGGAAGGCCAAGGGCTTCAGTCCCAGGCTGATGGGATATAATCTCAACCCTGCTGCCCCGGGCCAAAGCAAGTCTAAGCCAGCCCTGGTAACCCCATTAAAACAGGGTCGCGACCCACAGTTTGAGAACCGCTGTCTTAAAAAATGCATTTTTAAAAATCCATGGATGGAGATTTGGGGGACTAGATTTTAATCCTACTGTGCACCATCAAACTGTACACTCATGGACAATGATAATTTGCCACTGTAATGTTACGTAAAATAAACTACAGTTGTTTTTCCAAGTGAGATGTCTGTTGAACCACTAGCTGTTTTCCTTGAAAAAAGGTATCCATAGAAACCTAAAATGTTATGGGAGACAAGCTCAATATGAGAGGTTTAAGCAGTAATCACCTGTTGTTGCATAATCCTCTTAGGTGGTGATGTAGTCTGGAGCTGTGGCTCAACAGCTGAATAATAATGAGCTAAGCCACTGCTAAAATTGCTTGCCAAAGGCTAGTTTGTACTGCAAGTTTGGTAAATGGGAATTACAGTAAAGAAAGGGTTCTTTATTTCAGTGATATAAATTGTACCTAATTAAGCACTACTAATCCTCATGAGGAGGATAGGTCCCTTAAATGCTCTTGGCCAAGATGGTTAGGGATGCTGCCCCATGCTCCAGGTGTCTCTAGACCTCTAATTGCCAGAAGCTGGAACTGGATGATGGGATGGATCACTTGAAATTGCGGTGTTCTGTTCATTCTCTCTAAAGCATCTAGCACTGGCCACTATCAGAGACCGGATACTGGGCTGGTATAGCCATTCTTACATTCTCCATGCAGATTTTCCAGATTGAGGCAAATTTATGTAAGGTCTGATCCTGAAATGGTCTAAAGAAATTTAGATTTTGTTTTTTGGAATTGACAATAAAACTTTTGTGACTGTGTTGGATTATACAGCCCATCCCTTTCTATGTTTCAGGCAGAAATTTTGACATCTGCTTTCTGTCCTTTTAGCCCTATGTAAGAGACACTAAAGGGAAAAAGTTGTTTATGTAGTACATAGAATTTTGGCCACCTACGGTAAATATATACATTAAAATAAATACTGTGCTTTAGTCTTTGTCTGCTAATAGTGATTGAACCTGTCAAACTATGGTAACTCACATCTCTAATGTAAAGTGATTGTGAGAAGGATTTGGAATAGTTTACCCTTTCCACTACTATGTGTTGCATTTGTATAGTTATTTCAGTCTATGTAGAAGTCTCTAGCATTCTGTGTGCCTTTGGTATAAATTGCAAAAAAACAAATACCCCTCCCCCACCTGTTAAAATTAACTGCTCCGCTCCTACCAGCAGCCACCAATAATACCCAACCTACAAGACAACTTGCTTTAAAGAGCCTATTCCCAAACAAACCTTAATTCTCAAGACCCAAGTATAAATAGATATGAAGGTCAACAAACCAGGCTATCTTAGCACATTCCAAAGCTGCGGGCCCCTCACAGCAAACCCTTTCCTGCTAGCCCTCTTCAGTCAACACTGCTGCTCATAACTATGGTAGACGGCTTTTCTCCATGTGCTGTGCTTTTACACAGGACAGTCCCAAGTCATTTAGGGCTGTATAGGTCAAAATAAGAACCTTAAACTTCACCTTGAAAACAAGAGGCAGTCAGCATAGACCACAGATGTCATGTGCTGCTGTCAAAAAAAGCTCTTAATAACCGGATTGCCAGATTTCATATTTTCATAAAATAAACCCAAAGGGGTTACTTAAGGATAGTCCCATGTAAAGCCAATTGCAGAAATCCAATCTTTGGGAAGCTACTTCTCCTTCTCTTCTTCCTTATAGAACAATAATCATTGTAACAACACTGTTGTTGTGGACCATTACTGTAAGTAATGGAAAATCTGTTAGGGTAGGTATTTGTAATGCACTTATTTCAGGTGTTTATGGTAACCAAGCTTCTCAGTAACTAATTTTGAGATCAGATGGGCTGCATGCCCTTCTTCAACACTAATAGTCCCAAATGTTGTAGTAATACTAGAAGACGCTACAATATTTTGGGGGAGAGAATTCCATTTCTTTCTGCCTATGAGAATTGATATGTTTTAGTGATAGCCACTGTTAAATCCCAACAAAGGGGAGCACCAGGCTAGACAGTTGTAGGCCTGTCAGTCTCTGCTGAAAGGAACTAAAGCTTTAGCTTTCTCTCCCCACCCCACTGAGCTATACAAAAGTGATGACAGCATTAAACTAGTCTCTGTGTCTCTAGAAGTGCTGATGCTTTAGACCAGGGGTAGGCAACCTATGGCATGGCACGCAAACTGATTTTCAGTGGCACTCACACTGCCCGGGTCCTGGCCACCGGTCTGGGGGGCTCTGCATTTTAATTTACTTTTAAATGAAGCTTCTTAAACATTTTAAAAACCTTATTTACTTTACATACAACAATAGTTTAGTGTTATACTATAGACTTCTAGAAAGAGACCTTCTAAAAACATTAAAATGTATTACTGGCACGTGAAACCTTAATTTAGAGTGAATAAATGAAGACTCGGCACACCACTTCTGAAAAGTTGCCGACCCCTGCTTTAGACTATGTTTTTTCAAACATCTGCATGATGTGGTTCCCAACTTCTAGAGATGGCAAATGTTTATTGATATCTTCCCTCCTGTTTGCAATTCTATAACATGCCTGTGGAAACTACAGCAGTTAATTACATGGAAAAATAACATTAGGAAAGTATTTATGTATTTTCAGCTGTCTGTTAATGTATTTATTTAGCAGCTGCAAACGAGGAGAGCCAGCACCATGTGATGAGCCAGCTCCCTTCAGACAATCAGCAAGTACTCCACAAACCACAGTCTGGGAATCTCTGCTTTTAAAAATTGAGACACATTTTCCTCTTCTGCTGCCCCTGAAGCAGTTGCACAGCTGGTTGAGCATGCTTCCAGTCATCTCTCCAGCTGTGGCACTGAAAGCCTGCCAGGTTGCTCTGTACTATTGCACTACCCATGGAAATGTGCTGCTGCATTCAATAGCATACAGATAAATGAGAAAAATCGGCTTTGCTTCCCCCCTGCACTTCATTGGGTCAAATAAGTTAACATGTCATTAAAAAAAACCACAAAAACCTACTGCAATCTGTTTTCCTAACACATCAGATAATCAGACTGTATGAGCCAGACAGTTCAGAGTCCTTTAGCCCCTCCTCTACCCGCATGGATTCATATAGGGCCAAATCCTGGATCCACTGTACTCTGGCAAAATTCCCACACTTGAGTGGGCGCAGGATTTGACCTATCCTTTGTAGCTTGTCAGTTATGTAATTTTATTATGCTTCAATTTTTTTCATAATCCCCATGATTTTACTAATGCATGATATTGCAAATGCACTACAAAATTAGCCAATGGACTTTAAATCATTTGAGTACCTCTAAACCTCATAAGCTGATTAAGAGTGTGAAGGATGTTGTTTTTATGTAACTAGATCTAAATTTAATTTTTATTACAGTCGAAAGAACACTGCTATTGCAAGCCATGGTCCTTATCCTGTTCCTTTTGGAGTTAATGGCTAAATCACTGACTCCGCAATGATTGGTGCACATTCTTGAATGTCATCAAGAACGGTACTCAAAACAGACTGCAGTAACCCCATATTGACAGCCCCAGATTTCACCAAGGAATTCATCCTAGAGACAGATGCAGCCGAGGTGGGCTTAGGGGCCGTCCTGTCGCAGATGGTTGGGGAAGAGGAACACCCAATTCTCTACCTCAGTAGGAAACTCCTTCAGAGGGAACAAAAATGCGCAGTAGTAGAGAGAGAGAGTGCCTCACCGTAAAATGGGCCATGGAAACTTTGCGTTATTACCTGCTGGGGTGCAGATTTATCCTTGTGACCAACCATGCCCCTCTTCAGTGGATGCAACGGAACAAGGAAAAGAACACAAGGGTAACCAGGTGGTTCTTATCCCTCCAACCTTTCCAGTTCCGCATACAGCACAGAGCAGGGAGTCGCCATGGCAACGCCGATGGCTTATCATGCGTACACTGTCTGGTGTCCCAAGCTGCCCAACCCCGTGGTGTTGAGCAGGGGGGAGGGATATGTAATAGACCCAGGCCAGTTGGGTACAGCAGAGTAGCAGAAGGCAGATATACTGGCCACTGGATTAACAGTTTTCTGTTCCCTGACTGATCAGAGCAGGGGCTGCTCCAGGCTATTGAGAACACCTGACTCCAATTAACCTGCAAAGAGTCAGGTGAGGCCATTAAGCTAATGTAACCACCTGACTCTAATTAAGGCCCCTTTGATACTATAAAAGGACTCACTCCAGTCAGACAGAGGAGAGCCAGGGGGCCAGACGAGAGGAAGGGCTGGTTAATGAAGACACCGTCAAGTCATTGGTAAGGGAGCCTTAAGGTAAGGGTGAAGAAGGGAGAAGCAGGACAGCTGTGGGGAAGTGGCCGAGGGAAATGTAGCAACTCTGGCAGTGAAAGGTTGGCTGCCAACAGCTGCTACCATTAGGGTCCCTGGGCCCGAACCCGGAGTAGAGGGCGGGCCCGGGTTCCTCCCAATCCACCACTACAGGAACACCTAGGAGGGGAAGTCAGGCCCCTGTCAGGACAGGTTAAACTGTTCTGAAACAAGCCCCTAGGGGCAACAGAATCTGTGGGAGTTCTCTCACCAACCTCCTTGCTGGTTTATGATGAAAAGGGCTCAGTAGACTTGTAACCCTGGCCCTAGAGAGAGAATGGCTACATGGAGGGTCACAGTGAGCCACTGAGGCTAGCATATACCGCTTAGAAGCGTGGGACCCACGGGGACAAGGTCAGAGCTCTGCCGCAGCATATATGCAGATAAGTAATATAAAGAGCATCGCCTACTGACATTTGTTTTTAAATTCATTGGACCAGTAAAGCGTCTGTTGTGCCCTACAACTGGCTTCCAGATTACACAGCTCTTTCTTTAATCTACGGACTGTTTTGCTGTCATTGTCAGAGCCAGGACGAAGAATGGGTAAACAAACAATGCCAGCTGCTGAAAATATCCCCCACTCCCCAAAAGCCCATGAGTGCTACTTAAACAATCCTTTTTGTTTAACATGAGAGGTGAGCAGCCCAAAGGACTAAGCGAGGTCCTGTAGGATGGAGAAGAGATGTCTGACTTGGTACTCAACTGGGAGGAAAACCAGCACAGATGGACTGGGAAGAAGAGCTCAACCACCCTTGGGGTGGAAGCTGAGAAGAATGACCGAAGCGGGGGTGATTTTCTAGGGCCCTGTTCTTTAACTGTGACAGAGAGAGT